CAAGAGGCATGTGTTTCCAACGGGTAGGGGCATGGAGCATATGACACCATCATGTAGAGTTTTTATTCAGCGCATTATCACCCAAAAGGCGGCGGCGGCGGCGGGACGGATGGCTCAAAAACCGGTTCAAGTGGACAGGTTCTGGAGTTTGGATGGGAGGTCAAAGGAAACGATGATAGCGGAATTCGAACGCAGGTTGACATACACATGGAGTTTTGATCATGATCTAAGCAATGCATGTATTGCCAGGACCGCTACTCAACACGCAGCACAAGAAGAGCAGCAACAACACACCAAGAAAAGCACCTAGCGTGTCGATTTGGTCATCATGGCTTTGCTCGACATGAATGGCGGGAGGGTGGAACTCGGGAAACGGATCTATACCAACCGTTTTCTTTTTGCTTTGGCGGACCTTTTGTCGAATGACGAATGGCTTTTGTTATTGTGATTACGGATTAGGTAGACAGAGAGAGCTAGGAATGAGAAGTTACCCCTAACAAATAGGATGAGGCTGGCTGTGTGATGTGACTGCTGTTGCGTGTATGAATACCATTAGGGATGAGATGTTGTATCTTGATGATGTCAAGTCTAACGTCTATGGGTTTTTTAGAACGGTGTTGTCCCAAGAAATGATGCTGTAACTCAGGTAGTATGAACTTTGCCTCCCGCGCGGGAGAGGATGTGGTAGGTAGGTGGTACAACATCTGGATCCGGGTCCATCGAGGTCGACACACACACACACACACTCACTCACTCACACACAGACACACAAGCACACGGAATGAAACGGGACGGATGGACGGGCCCGGCGAGCGGTGGGGGGAGGTGGCGGGACGGGTTACTTTGATTTTGGGATTCTGAGCCGTTTCTGCTGGTTTGGAGACTTGCGGGGATGGCCTGCTGAGATGAGGAGGTTGAGATTTGCCGTGGTGGTATCAATCTGACAAGACGGGGGAAAGGAAGAGGTTGAGAAGATGGGGGTAAGGTAGGAAGGTAGGCAGTGATTGGGGATCAGATAAGATTTCCCGCTGGGTGATTTAAAGGCTTTTAGCGGAGGCGATGAGTCTGGGAGGACCATGGATGAGGGGTCCAGGTAGGTAGGTGATGGCTTAGGGACTGAATCTAGAACATGGATATCCACGGGGGATGGCTTAGGCAAGATCCAGTTGCCGGGTGCTGTCGGCTTGGGAGGTGAAGAGGATTGGGTATGGGGGGAAGGAAGTGGCTGTTGGTGTTGGGTAGGGCTTGGTCTTCTTTTCTTGGGTTGCTTACTCACCCTCCTACCCCCTCCCTAGATGTCCGGCTGGTGCTTTAAAGGAAGGTCAGGGTAGGGCTCCTCTCTGATGATGAATAGACAGTAGCTTTGTTGTTTTGTTAGCAGGCTGGCAATTCTAGTTATTCGTAACCTACCTAGGGTTTCACTTGGGACGGGATTGGTGGATTGCCATGATGGGCTTGAGATGGGGATGGGCAAGGCTCGGGTGATTCGGGCTTTGGTCGGCGGGTTTGTTTTCCCTGTTACACAGAAGAGAAAGGGAACGAGGGCTATTACGAGAACTCTTGATGAGGGGGCGTTTCTTGGGCTACGGCCCGTTCTTATCATGTTTTGCAGCTTTTTGTGGTTCTGGTGAAGTAGAGGACTGGTTCCTCCTCAGTAATTTGTGCTGTTGTAAGAGACAGAGAAGACATGGGGAGGAATGGGTGTAATTTCTTTTGGTCAAGATAAATAGTCCGGGATGGATTGTTCGTTTGATCATTGGGTATGTATTTGGTGATGGTTGGGTTTGTGTTGGTGACGCTGGGGGCTCGGTGTGGTGGTGGTTGTGTAAGTGGGACAGTGCGTGGGCGTTTTGCTCTGATCTGAGTAGAGAAAGCACAATTCTGAGTCGGTACATTCTATGTTATTGATTCTGCATCTTCCAGTATTCAAAGTATGTGTTTCCGGAGTTGGTTTGGAAGATCGATGTTGATATCAACATGAAACCAGATGTGAACATGTCCGGACAGTGTCGTTAACACTGTTGTGGGAGTTCAAGCGTCGTTTGTTCAGGGGTCTGTTTTTGGGGTTCTTTCTTGTCACACCGTCGGGCAGAACTTCAGCGAGCCTCCTCCTCAATGCCCCCACACTCTCACGTCTCTCGCTGTGACACTTTTTCTGGACTGTGCCGCTGCCGTGGTGGGTGTGTGGGCAGGCAGACAGGCCAGTGGGCTGGCGGCAGGTCGTGCAGCATGAATTGAATCGGGGCTTATTCCGTGCCGTCGTGTTGGTGGGCATTTGTGGGTGTGGTCGCTCGGCAAGCAGCGGTTGTGAGAGTGGACTTGATGGACTAGAACTCTTGGCTGGGCTGGCAAAGAGGACCGGTCAGGGTAGCAATATGTCTGCTTTGATGAAAGTACCCAGAGGCTCACAACCACGGAGCACGGCATGTCAGACGGCGGGAAGGGAAGGGAAGGGGAATGCGAGTGGGTGTGCCGAGGTGGTGGTGGGGGGAAGAGTATCTGGGGAGTTGGAGAGAAGATCAGGAAAAGAACGGCAGGTAACATAGTCTCATCAGGGATGGCCGAATATTGAGGCAGTAGAGGTGGACGGTTTTATGTTGCAATGTCACACTGCAATGGCAGGCAAGCCAACGAAGTACAAGATAATTGCCCGAAATAATCTTTGAAGATCAAAGATGATTTGCATGATACTGGATGGTTTTGGAGAGCAGTCTGACACGCCACGCAACACCCACTACAATGATACAGACCGGACTAGGCTCGCCATATTGCACCATGATGGAAATGGGACGGAAACGTGGGACCAGGGGGATGGATAAATGACATGATGCTGCGTGGATGGACACTCGGGCAGCAGGCCGGCCTTGTTGGTGATAGGCAGTGCGCCGCGAGAACCAACGAATACGTCTCGTCGCTATCTTTACGATGGGATTTGATCCGTTCGTACATGAAGTTCAAGGATAATGTGCCTCACTCTCAATAGATAATACCATAACCACGTGTGGCTGGTTTTCTATCAGCCTTCTGGGGGGGAGGGGGAAGATGTGACGGACGGAAACCCGGCGAGGGGAGAGGGGGGTGGGATGAAGCAAAGGAACTATAGTTGCTTTTTCCTCGTCTTCTTCTCTCTCTCTTTTCCTCTCACCGGTGAACCAATCCTCTATCACCAAGCAGCACGTTTCATGGCATTATACTTCAATGTCTCGCTGAGAGGATAGTTTAAAGCCAGCGCCAGCACGGCCCAAGCGACCAGTGGAATGTTCCTTTTTTTTTTTTTTGTTTTTTTTTTTTTTTTTTTGGGCTCGAATTCAAGCCTGAAGCACCCCCGCAGTTTGCCCCGAAAAGAGCGCCCGGCAACACGTTTTCCTCCACTTTTGCCCTGGAAGGTTAGCTGCCTAGAGCGCTGCCGTCACGTTTTGCAAACACCCCCACACCCCCTCGACCTGGCAACTCACAGAGATCAGATTGGACCTCGACTTTGCCCTGCCGGCAACATTCCCACCCCACTGGCAGCAACAGCTGTTCCTTTCCGGCGTCCCTCCGGCAAGCATTCCACCATCCGGTCTTCGTTCTAGGCTTCTTGTTCGTTTTGAATATCCTTAACAGTGGTGGAATACGGCGGGGAAGAATTCCTGGTGCAGATCAAAACCTCGCGAATCGTGCATCGCGGCGCGCGACGTGCGGCTGTGATTTGCATCGCCGGTAGTGCTGAGGACGACACACCGGTGTAAGAGAGTGCGAGCGGGACCGGAAGGCAGGAGAGCAACATCAGGAGGTCGCTGTCGCAACAAAAAGATAAAAGATGGATGTTGAAATGAAGGGCGTGGTTGCTCCTGATGCTGCCGGTACCAACGTCACGATGGACATGCCACCTCCTCCGCTGCCGGCTTCTGCTATTGCGGCTGCCGCCCAGTTACAGCTGCAGCAACAACAGCAACAGCAACAGCAACAGCAACAGCAACAGCAACAGCAACAGCAACAACAGATCCAGCAACAACAGATCCAGCAACAACAGATCCAGCAACAACAGATCCAGCAACAACAGATTCAGCAACAACACCCACAGCATCACCACCATCAATTGCAGCAGCACCCACAGTCGCCGGTAGCTCTAGCACAACCACAACAACAGCAGCCATCCCAAGCCCCTCCAGCGGCTCCACCTGTCAAGAGGAGAGCTCCTATTGCCTGCCGAAGGTGCGTACTTTGATCCTATTCTGTCTATCGGTTGCCGATCAAACCAGTCGGAATCTGTTTGGTGCATATATGCCCAGAAGCTCAGTTCCCTGTTTCCCTCCATTTCATCTTTAGATATTGCCAATGTGTGCCAGGTTGTAAAGCTCCTTGACCTAACATATATCTTGTTCGTCTCTACTTTAGATGTCGTCGTATGAGAAGCAAATGCCACCAAACGGACAAGGGAAAGCCACCTTGCCAATCATGCACCGATGCAGGACTTGGACCAGAAGACTGGTGAGATCAACCTCATCCCAATGACCTGAGGGATTTCCTTTGTTTGTCAGTGATTGCTGATGCGCGTGTAAAGTGTCTTTCCAGTCCGCGGCCAACCAGATGAGGACCGCGAATACCGGCACCCTCGGGTCCGGGCTGATAAGAATAGTAAACGAGAGGTTCTCAAGTTTCGAAGGGATGTCCTGGACCAGCAGCAGCAGCAGCAGCAGCAGATTCTAGCCAACGGAGCGGTGATGAGCCCTGGAGGAAAGCTCATTGCCCGAAGCCCGGACGACTGGGAGGTCCTGCCACCGTTGGAGGATATCCTAGACGCAGTGAACAACTTTACGAGACATTACTTCCAGTTGGGATTCATCCCCAAGCAGAGGTTTATCGAGAAATTGACGGTTAACCCCCGGTCAGTCAGCTTGTTTCTGCTTCTGGGAATACTAAGTGTCAGCGCTAGGTTGACGCCGGCGTTGGTCGAGCGGTACGGCGGTGCTATGAACGCGGCCGAGATCTTCATGGAGCATGCTTCGGCTGTGGCAATGATGGAGCTATACAGGGAGCCAAGTCTGGAGAGGTGCCAGGCGTTCTATCTGTTGAGTATCGCGCAGCAAGGGAGTGGTCTGACTCACAAGAGCTCGATCAACATGGCCGTCGCTATGAGGATGGCAACACTGCTCAAGCTGCACAGGGAGGAGACGTACGTCTTGGTAAACCCAACAAAGGAGCTGGTAATCCAAGCCGAATCAGCAAGGAGAACTTTGGTACGTTCTTGAACTGTCGAAACCTGGAGAAGGGGCTTGCTAACCGTGCATCTAGTGGATGCTTCACAGCCAGGACAATTTGCACTCAAGCGCACAGTCGCCTGTGCTGCTGGCAGCCAGCGACATCACGGCATTGCTTCCCTGTGACGAACAAGACTTTGCGGCGGCTCGGGAACCCAAATCGAGAGCAGCTCTCGAGGACACCCAACCTGCATTGGAGAAACCCGAGCTGATTGCTGACCCAGGGAGGTCACTGTTTGCGACGTTGATCCAGGCGCATTACTACTGGGGCAGGATCTCTAGACGGGCCATCAGTCACGATAAGAGTGCGAGACCGTGGGAGCCAACCAGTCAGTATGCTGTCCTGGAAAAGAAACTGGCCGGGTGGGAGGCATTGCTGCCGAATGACCATAGGTGGAGCAGCCTGTTGCTGAAGGGCTACAAGCAGGAAGGTCATGATCTGGTGTGCTTATCGAACGCTATTTGCTGCGTGGCCCTTTGCTAATTTGAGTTCTATGCAGGCATATCTCGGAGTGACCATGACGCCGCGGCTCTGCAACATTGTGCTCCGTAAGGCGTACATACACAACATGATCAACCATGGCACTTCAGACGCGACCTTGGCGCGCTTTTGGAATGATATGGCGCAAGAGCTGTTCAGAAATGTCAAGGAGTTGTATGAGCAAATCCAGATCCAGTACGGAGACAGAGCTCCAGACGAGGGTCCCGGAGCCCAGATGGCTGTAAGAATCATTCGGCTTTTGGCACTGAGAGCTGTACTGACAGATGGCAGGCTTTCTGTGTATATACATGTGGCTTCCTGGCATGCTATCTGTGCAAATATCCCAAGTGTAGGTTCTACCTTGCTGGCTAGCGATGGCAAGGAAATATGCTAACATTTTCACAGTGTGTGCCGACTCTATTCTCGTGCGTGATGCTCCGCAGATTGTCCAGCGCATCCTCGGTATCCTGAACGAGAGCAAGAACATCTGGCCGCTCGCGTCTAGGTGGTTCGACCACCTGGAAAAGTTTTCAAGAACGAAAACAGGAATGGCAGCAGAAACGCAGGGCAGCATGGCTGATAGCGTGAGTGCTCCGAGTTCGAACAGCACACAAGTCCACCCCATTTCCTCTCCTCCACCCTCTTCTTCATCTTCGGGAGACTTAGTGTCTTCAATCCAGAGAGATCCAATCCCTCACGTCCTGCAGCCGGCGCTCAAGGATGTGTTCACACCGATCCAGCCGCGTCTCCTGCCAGCGTCAACTCCTTCGACCGAAGGCGCCAAGAATCACAACGGTGTGGTGTCCCCAACATCCACACAAGGCAGCGGTCCAAGCTCTGCCATCTTGCCGCTACCCCAGGGTCCGCCTCCCTCGGCCAATTCTCATCAGTTGTATATTGATCCCAACTTGAGACTGCCACTGCCTAATGCGCCGCCGCCTCCGCACGCACCTCAGCAGCAACATCAGGTCCAGTCGCCTCAGCAACAGCATGCTCAGCATTCACCGACAGGAGGCGGTAGGCAGTCTACTGATGGGCTTGGGCTTTTGTTGGAGGCGTTCGATACTCATCGGTCGGCTCCAGGACCTCCCGGGCCCGGTCAACATCCTCACAGCGCTGAGGGACAGGGCCCACCACCGGGCGCCCCGTATGATCCTCAGGCGGCACCGCAGCCGTATTACACGCAGCATCAAGGATTGCCGATGAATGACGGGTATGAGAACGAGTTGGGGTATTACATGAGCGATGGGGTGCCTCAAACTATGCAGAACTGGGGTGGGACGCCGCACATGTACACGGGGTACTAGTGCTTTGGTTGAGCGAGGTGGATCATTTTTGGTACTGGCTTTTTTCCTTTGATGTGGGTGGATGGGTAGTCGTTTGATAGCGGGAGTTGGGAAAAAGATATTTCGTCGTTTAGGTCAAGGGTATTGTTTTTGCTTTGGGGATGACTTTGGTCATTCTTTTGCCTACGGGGATACGAAGGTAGGCTATGGGATAAAAACTTGGACCGGGAAATCGGGATGGCAAGTGTCTTTTGTTAACATGTTTCTGAACTCTGGAGCTTTGGGGGTAACAGCGGTGGATTTTGATCTGCTGCCTTTTTGCTTATGGGGTGACTTGTTTCCTTCAGTCGACCCGGCCATTATTGTTTCCTTGTGTCTTTTAGTAAGGAAGAAGGAGTGATACAAATCTTGAGTCTTGATTCAATGACAGGGGAATAAACAGCATTTTCTTCTTGCCCCTGAATGTTGGCCCAGCGCCAAGTGGTGTTGATGTGCATATATCCATTATGATTCGATTATGGAATATGCAACCACCAGCGGTCTATCCGAACTTTCGCCGCCAAGCGCGGCATTCCGTCATAGGACGGGAGCTGGAGAGCGTTTTCGGTTGGCGGCAGTTCAGTAGGTGATTTTTGGATGCTGGAAATAATTCTGGATTAGCAATCCTAATCCACCACCACACAAACACGTAACACCCACGCTAGATCTCTACAGTTCTCGACGTTGACAATCCTGAACCTTTTCCTCCCAATCTCAGTAAAAAGCAAAAACCTGCGTTCGACCGAAAACGAGCGAAACCCCCAAAGGAAAAAGAAAAAAAATGGCTACCCCGCGCCCGGAGCCAGGCGCAAAAGGTGCTTTCCGCTGGTATGCCTGCCCCACGAAAATTTTTTTATGGATCTGAGACCAAGTAGAGGATAAATCGCTAATGATGGATTGGGGAGGGGGGGGGGGAACAACAGTACAAGCAACTCCTCCCGGCAATCCTCCCAGTCTACCAACTACAACTTTCGCGAGTACGCCAAGCGAACGGGACGAGGGATGCGTTCAGGGAGAACAAGAATGTGGAGGAGGAAAGGAGGGTGCAGGAGCTGGTGCAGGAGGGTTTGAACCAGTTGCACTTGTTGAAGGTGAGTCACGGATTTCCGCGGTGAAGTCTGAATGGGGGGCGGGGAGGGGACAGATATTTGGGAAAGAGAGTAGGATTTTGATACCGGGGAGAAGAGGGAGGCTTGGGGGTTATGGCGCTGGAGGAGACATAAAAAAGAAGAGAAGCAGACACAGTGGCTAACGAGATACCGACAGAGGCAAACAATGATCAGCCAGTTTTACAAGCACGACAGGCTTGTGGTGGAGGGCGGGCTCTCAGGGAAGGATAAGGGTGGGAAAGTGCTCAGGCAGAAGGATACCGGGTAGGTTCTTGATCCTTGCACTCCGAATCTGCAGAAGACGGGAGGTGCTAATACAACCTGACTCGCAGCTGGGATTAAAGGTGTCAGCGGACGAAGAGGCAGTGTCTAGGAGGACCGACATAGGGCTGTTTGTATAAATACTAGGAACAAGGACGCTTTAACAAGAAGGCAGGCGTTTTTGCTGTACAGGGACCAGCACAAATAAAGGGGGTGCGTCTTTTTCAGTGTACCTCTGAGGACAATGATATCATGTGGTGTTGGCGGTGGCAGAAAAGGGAATCAAACTCAGCTTCATTCTTCTCAATGGAGTCAACAAGAGTGTGCCTACCTGTCTGGTCCTGGAAGCTTTGGCGAGGTCCGAATCTTTGTGTGTTGCTGGCTCACACTGATGACTTCTCGGATATATCGATATCGCTCTATCCGACTAGTGCACTGCCTGTGCATTTCGACACGCGAGGTGCTGACAACACGCGAATTGGCAGGGCAGCCGCGAATCAGATCGAGGTCCTCAAAAGCAATCAACCAAGTCTCTTTCTTCCATTTCAATATACCAAATTGCGCCCATCTTTTCTTGAGAGCCATCTCCAGCCAACCATCAAATTATTTTACTCCAACAACTGTTACCAGCACAGTACGTACTCATTGACATATCTAGCGCCCGTTACGAAAAATCCCCAAATCCACCATCGAGACCAACCAACCTTACTTGCGACCGATCATCATCCTTCCTAGTCCTCGCCGGTCTCGACTTACGCCACTGTCGTCGGTGTCGCGACGCCACGCCCCGTAACGTTGTGCGCAAATCCACAAGTCCCCTGCGCCAGCTCCGGAGTCTCCGTTGCTTCCGGCCGAGGCCAGCGGAACTCGGAATCCATAATCCAAAAGTTGTCGCGGGGTGACGTGAGATCCGGCGCGAGCTTCGGGGTCCGGTCCGTTTAGCACTGTGCAACAGGGGTAGCGGTCATTGATTTGTTGCTGCGTTTTTTGTTTTTGCCTTGGTTTTGTTTTACAATGGCGCCTATGGTAAGGCATTTCTCTTTTCATTTATATTTGAAGACTCAAATCAACCTCCAAAACTGCCGAGATAAATCGAGCGATTGAGGACGTCCAGGCAAAAGATCTAGAAAGTTAATATGGACTTGTGGTTGCACCGAAACAGCAGTATAGGACGGCGGCGCAGACCAGAAGGGGAAACCGGGCTGGCGTGGTTGAACATGATGACTTTGAAGGTATGGCTCCCAACCCCTTTGGTGACATCACAGGTGGCTGATGAGTGTATTGTTTTTCAGGTCTCCCGGTTCGACAATGGACACGCGGCGAAGTCAACGTGGCCATGGGCCCTCCCCCTGACGACGATCAAAAGGACGATATTTGGGCGATAGAGTTGCCTTTCGGCATGCCCAAGGATACAGCACTCTTGCCGCCACATTCCCAGGAGCTTCTCAGGGCGATGAGGTCCGGTAGGGTGTATAAGCGGCCCCCGCCCGAGGACGAGGACGAGGACATCGATTTCGGGACCAAGGGCGACAAGAAGGAGCCTGAGGTGGGGAACGAGGGCTTCACTGTCAGAGCGTGGAAGCAGATGCCGAGGAATGCAGAGGTCCCCTCAGTCTCCCACTTGGCAAAAAGACACAAGGGCACCATCACACTGGCGAGTACTGCAAGTGTCGCTCATATACCGGGACCGACAATCACCAGGGCGACTGTGAGGAGGATCGATGCGGCAGGCAATCCGTATGAGCAGACGATCACATTGAGTGAAGGACAGCAAGTCGACGGTGAAATCATTCGCACGACGGTAATGCCTGCACCGGTTGCTGCGGCTGGCGAGGCGCTTGGGCAGCAGGCGACACCCGTCAAACGGAGACCACCGCCGCCTAAGAGGAAGGCCAAGGGGCCGGGCAGAGGAAGGAAGAAGGGAAGCGGGAAGATTGGTCAGTTGCCTTTGCCTGCCACCAGGTCACAGCAACAAGCAGCTGCTGGGGGCGAGGCTTTGGCTGAAGCCACGGTTGAGGGCGTACTCGGCGAGGGTCCACCAGGGGTAAGTTCTTACCATCCGCGGCCAGTCGGGTATCAGGTCGAGTGGCTAACAACGGGCAACAGGTTGTCATTACGTCCGAGGAGAACGGCGATGCAGCAGGCCAGGACACCGAGATGGCCGACAACTCGGTCATTCCTTCCGATGAGGAGGACGGTGACGAAGGGGACGAAGGCGACGAAGACGGTGAGGAGGAAGGTGGCGACGAAGAAGCCGGCGATGAAGAGTCAACAGCGACCCCTGAAGTGGGCAACGCTCCAAGTGATGTCGAGCAGGTTACAGAGCAAGCTCAAGGTCAGGATCAAGATCAAGAGATGCTCGGCTCAGACGCTTCGGAGGTTATCCGACCAAGCTCGATTGAGGAACCTGAAGACGAGCAGCTGCCTCGTCGCGCCACCCCCGAAGAGGAGGTCACAGTTTCCAGACCACGGTTCCAACTGGGTCCACAATTTAACTCTCCCCGCGCGGAAGGCAGTCCCCTCAAGAACGTCATGGTCGTGTCGCCCACCGAGCCAGCGACCGCGCCTGCTGCTGCCAGCTACCTCGACATCCAATCTACTACCGTCTCCATGGACATTGACCTTGGAAACACTCAACCAAACATCCCTCTTCCATCCTCATTGGAAATATCAGCTACGGTGCAATCAGAAACAGCCGTTACCTCTGAAACATCATCCGCTCCTAAGCCCAGCGCATCTACGCCCCCAATGGCAGATCAACAAGCTTCTGTGCCCGCAGAATCCATCTCTGAAGCTCTCACGATGCCAGAAGAGCAGCCCCCGTTCTCGGCGCAGACAACCGAGCCTGTCACCGCATCCGAAGCTTCTGTTTCGCTTGAGGTCCCAACGCAAATCCCAGAGGTCTCTCTCCAGACATCAGCCTCTCCTACTCTTCCTACTGCTTCCGAACCCCCTCAGGCATCCGAAGCAGGTAGCCCCGATCTTTTAGGCAGTCTTGAGGCCGAGCTCGACAGGGAAATGTCACTCAACAATCGATCCCCGCCGCCTGGTGAGCAGGAAAAACCATCCGCAACAGAAGCCCAGTAGGATGGCCTCGATAATGACGTCAAGAATACTGTCGACAAGCTGCTTGAGCTTGTTTGTAGTCGCGGTTTTCAGCCTGGGCTATGGTCGGCGACAATTGAGTTGTATGGGTACGGCACCCGTGATTACCGGGGAGATTGCGATCCCTTTGGGGACGATGATCCAATTGAGGAGGAGGATCCCATTGAGGAGGGGGATCCCATTGGGGATGAGGCTAGTCGTGACTGGCCTGATCACGATACCACCGATCACGATACGGATGGTTCAGACGGATGGTTCAGACGGAGGTGACCCAAACGGTGGTGGTCCAAATGGAGGTGATTCCGGTGGAGGTGATTCCGATGGAGGTGATTCCGATGGAGGCGATCCAGACGGAGGTGATCCAGACGGAGGTGATCTAGGCCGAGGTGATCCAAACGGAGGTGGCCCAAATGGAGGTGGCCCCGACGGAGATGATCCAGATGGAGATGACCCTGACCATTATGACGGCGACCGCTTTGATGATATATTGCCGCTTTCACTCTCGCCTTGCTCCGCACGCTTCTGGGTACGCCTCCGTCGCCCACACCGACGCTCATGGCGCCGCAGACGTCAGCTCCATTTTCCTCGATACAGCCCCAACCCACGATGGGGACAAAGCGTCTGGGATTGGGTTGATGGCACGGCTCGCACGGCTCGCAGTGGCTTGATTGGCTCTGCCTTTTGGGCTTGTCGAAAGTACCTCGATGCCTTTCGCGAAAATGCGGGCACGGACGGGATCAAGACGCAAACACGGTTCTTGTTTCTCAGGGAAGTTGGGGGTTTTCTTTGGGGAATCTCGGGCGTTCCACAATCTTTTCATTCGACTGGATCAGAAATACAATTGCAGCAGATAGATAGATGGAGAGATCAGAAGGCGGAAGGGAAGCGTCTTCAATTTTTCTTGTTTCACTCAGTTGGAGTTGAAAGAGGGACGAGCAGACAGCGTATACAGGGTTATATATTCAAGAGAACCCTTTCTTCTCTTTGGCACGTTTGCAATGATGTCTTTAGTGGCGTGGAGGTTGACGAGTTAGACGACTGAAGAGTAAGCCCGTTGAACTCTTCAAAGCGAATGATGGTAGGTCACCACGTCGAATTCAGCGAAAACCCGGAAAATAAAAGACTCAACGAGAAAACATTACATCACCGCCGCCAAAACCACCGCCCCAGCCGCCAACATCACCCCCGTCGGCACTGCCGCAAAGGCCCCCTTTCCCGCTCCATTCAGGGGAACCGTCACTGGCACAAATGTCGTCGTGGGGACGATTCCCGACGTGAACGGTATATCTGCCACCGGAGTGACCCCGGCAAAAGCAGGAGCTTGGGTTGCTGCTGCTGGGTCAGGGGTAGCCGATGTGTTGGATGGGTTTAGGACACTGCCCATCCTCAATGTCAGCAACTTGCGATACCCAAGAGAGGTGGTGGGTAGGTAAGTTGGGGGGAGGGGGGGTGTGGGCGTACTTATCTATAACATGCACCACCCCGTTTCCGACAAGCACATCCCCCAGTATCACCCTCGCCGAGTTGACAAACAGCTGGTTGCCGTCCCGTCTGATGGTCAGGTTGGAGCCTTGGAGCGTCGCCAAGACGATCTGGTCTTGGGCTAGGAGTCGCGGGGAGAAGAGGATGCGGGAGGGGACGAGGTGGTAGCCTAGTATGTTGGCTAGGTCCGTGTCTGAGAGGCCGCTGGCTGCTGAACCGATTGCCTGGAAGGCGGGGTTGGATGGGGCGAAGAGGGTCATGTCTTGGAGGGAGGAGGTGCCGGAGGAGAGGCGGGCGGTGGTGAGGGCGCCGACCAGAGAGGTGAGGTTTATGTTGGACAGGGTTTGAGAGAGGGGCGCTGGGACGGTGAGGACGGAGGAGATGATGTGGAGGGTGTTGTTGCTGTTGGCGAAGGTTAGGTCCTGGTAGGGGTTAGTATGAGAGGTATATAATGGGCCAAGGGGGGAAACATGCGGGGGTGATGACAGAGGAGGCTTGCTTGTAGCCTGAGAAGAGGCTTGCTGTTTCGTTGAGGAGGGTCAATTGGAGTTTTTGGCCTCCGGTGACGTTGGCGAAGGGGGTGGAGAGGAGAGTGGAGGGGAAGATGGGGCTGGTGGTGAAGTCTGTTGAGAGGGATTTTCCAGAGAGGACGTGGTACTGAAGAACGCCGGAGAGGGCGCGGGGGTTGGTCATGAGTTCTGCTGAGCGGGGGTTCCGAGACAAGAGGTTGGTGAAGGCTTCGTTGGAGGGGGCGAGGAGGGTGATGTTTTGGGCGGTGGAGAGGGTCTGGAATAGGTCCGGGACGAGTTGGAGGAGACCTTAGGGGTCAGTAATTCTGAAGCTTGCAGGGTCAGAAAGAGGTCAGTCATACTTGTTAGTGTGCTTAGTGTGGCATTATTCTGTGCGAGAATCTCAGTTAGAGACTGGGCAGAGGCATATGCTGCCAGTGCTAGGGGAAGTAGATATGTGAGATACATTTGGACTAATAACAACACAAGGTTACAAAAGAGAGTTCAAGAACCAGAGAGATTGAACGAGATGAGTAGGAACATGTCAGCTCAATATGGTGTTCGTCTTAGCAAGCACTCGGAACGTGAAGACTGTTGATGCCGTGCCATGATGGTCAACGAGTAGGAAAGCGGTGGAAATGATGTTTCTGGTATGAGAATCTCCACTGACATCAGGCTGAAAGTCATGATGCTCAAACATGTATCGAACGGCCGGATGGTGTAGATCATGCCCCTTCGTTTTCCAAGGGCCAAGTGCGTCTGGCTTCTCAACATTTGGTTGAGTTTCTTGTCACATATATAAATAAGTTGGAGAGCCTCAACGGGATCTTTGCAAGAGCTCAATGTCGGCGTGAATAAAAGTTGAAGGCAGGTTGAGGTGTGAGAGGACGTTGGTGATAATCGGGGAAGCCGATCAGAGGCAGGGAAACCTGACCATCTTTGTGATCAGGGCTCAGCGCGGTCTGTGCGCGTCAGGAATTCCAGTAAGATAGAGAGATAAGAAGCAGCGAATGAAGCTCTACAGGTCGAGCATCAAAATATCTTGGAACAATTCTTCTGCTTCACAGGCCAGTCTCTGAAACATTGATTGACCAATAACCATGGATCCTCATTGGCTTTCACGATACTCCGCACGAACATGGCGTCCTGATGGGTCACTCCAGCACCCCTCATCCAATCACAGACCAGCCCAACTTCCAAGTTGACGATCGGCTTTGCACCTGACCAAGACAAGCAACTTTCACTCAAACCCGACGATGTTTTGAACATGTTCAATTCTGGTATTCTACTCTCTCTCGCCAGCGCTGAGCTAGCATGTCACAAGATGCTAGCAATATGCAGTCTAAAGCAACAATGTCAATCCCCCGATGATGTCCTGACGGGCATGCTGCGCCCATAACGCCGTTTTCCCAAGTCGCCGATAACTCCTATTCATATGTTGTTGTATGCAACGCCCAATCCTTTTCCTCGTCGTACTCCTGATCGTTATTAACTCCATCGTGCTTCTACCCAGCTACCCAGCCACCCAACACAGACCCCTCAGGCAGCGACCTCCTGACTTGGCTGCTGTGTCGTCGCCGTTGCGGTCTGGTTGAGCCACTGAGCATACCGGCTCTTCTTGTTGTGGATGCCGCACTCAGTCTTCTCCTGGCCCTTCCACCGACCGGCACGCTCATCCTCGCCTTCGGCAACCGGGACTGTCGAATGCCAGTCACCAACGGACTTGTACCCCCGATCGAGGAGGGCATTGTATGGCACATTGTTCTCCTTGATGTAGTCGTTGACTTGCTTGAAGGTCCAGGTGACGAGGGGGTTGATCTTGATGATGCCTCTCTCCTCGTCAAGCTCGATGACGGGAATGGCACCACGCTGGCCACCCTGAGACCGGCGACGTCCAGTCAGGACGGCGCCAACCTTCAGTTCATCGTATGCTCTTTGTTGAGGCTCGACCTTGGCGACCCAGTCGTACAGCTCCGAGGACATCTCATACAGCTTCTCTCCGTATGTGCTCTCAAACTCCTCTACTGTCTCAACGTCAAGTGGCTTAAAGACATGCATCTTGAGCCCATAGCGCTCCTTGACAGTGTCAACGAGCTCATATGTCTCCTTGAAGTGGTAAAGGGTGTCCAGGAAGATGAGGTCAATGGGCAGCGAATGAGGGTTCTCCTTCTGGATCTTGGCCAGCATATCGATGGTGACGAGACCGGTGAGGCCGAAGGCTGTTGTCTGGTACAGGTTGGGGAAGAAGGCCTTGGAGAACCTGAGGATGTCCATGGGGTGCATGTGCTCCAGTTGCTGGTTGAGGTGCTTCAGGTGTGCTGGGGTGAGCGAGATGGCAGGGAGGTTGGCGGTGGAATTGCCAGTCGAGGCAAAGCCCGAGTCGACGGAAGCGTCGTCGCCATTAGACGACGAGCGAGAGGAAGGGGCCCTGGACTCTTCGGTGGACATGATGGCGGATTGGGTGGTTATAACACGTTTTGAGTGTTTGTGGATATGTTGTTGAGTGGATGCCAACGTTTCGTGCAAGAGCGAGGAAGAGAAGAAGTAAAGACGGGACACCAGATGTCGTGATTAAGGCGGGGAATGAGGCCAACAGAGGGGTTGCTCAGAGGGAATGGGGGGGGTTTGGTAGTATCGATGAGGGATATTGAATATGGAACAAAGTCGAGCTTTGGGGGTGGGAGGGGAGTGTTCACTACTAATAGCTTTCCAGTTGGAGCGTTTCGAGGAAAGATCCCATCCGCCGTTTCGGAACGAAAGTCGAAGGACCACCCTGTAGACCGACGACCGACCGACATCCGGGATGGGGGGAGCAAAAGGCACGTTTTCACTGTTCATGGACTAGGCTCATTAGTAATTATGGATGCTTCCACGATCACTTTGGCCCTGGAGGACACAGACGGAACCCAGGGACGGCCTGGCATTGGCTCCTGCCTGTCTAAACTGGGCCATCGCAGCGGATTTGGGAGGGCTGCGGTCGCCCTTTGCAAAGAGCGCACTCTGACGAAGCTTTCCCTAGAGTGGTGGTGTTTTCATGGAGGCTGATCACGACATCTGGAGGCATTTTCATTGGTCAATTTGGCCCATTTTCTGTGGGGGTCGACTCGTCCCCAAGTCGTTCCGCCCGCCCCTTTTGTGGCAAGGGGGCCGGGGACAAAACACCCATTGTCTTGTGTCGACATGCCACTGTGCGCTTCTCGAACTCCTCATGGGCGTCAATTCGAGGTGTTGTCGTCATGGCAGGGCGTGAGTTGCACGACATCTAGCACCAGAACAACGGTTGAAGGGATATATCTTGATCTACTTAGTCAGCCGGCAGTCGTCGATGTGAATCTTGAACCATGATGTCACTGTAGTCAACGTCTCCATAAGAATCTCAACCCCAGAAACTGTCAAAAACATGGTCTCTCCACCCCCCCCCCCTCCCCAAAAAATAACAAGAGTACGGTGATGAACCGTTTGAAGCTTATTTCTCAATCTCTTCAACAGTTACTCAGCTCTCCCACGGCGATTTGTCAGAGTATCTGCTGCCGACACAAAGCTGGGCAACCTCTTTGTAGGTGGCCTCCAATCAACCGTTTCACGGCCGGACAAAATCATCGAAATGGTGGGTCGCGTGCTGACGGGGCAGGCAACAACAGTTATTAACAGGACCTTCTTCATAGTTAAATATACCGCACCGGAGACGTCTAAACGGTCAACGGCTGTCGGGCTGACCCCGCAGTAGACAGACAAACAGGCAGACGATGAAAACCGGCGCAAGGTATGGCAGAGATATTGACCATATCCATTCTTTACCCCGGAGTTTCGGAGGTCTACATGCACTACCTTCCGGTGAAGGGAATCCACCTGACAGACGGGTTGACGGAGAGCTTTTTCTCGGTGTGGTTGGCCGATCTCGGGTGCGGGCGTGCCGGATGGAGTTCAAATGCCCCTCACCTTGCAACTGATGGCGGGGTCTGCCGACTGGCCAAAATCGGATTCACCGTGGTGAATGGTGGGGTTGACAACTTCCTTGTTTTTTGGTGCTGCCGTCCGTCCATTGAACAAAAATACTTGGCCGCCCTGTTCGCGCAAGCATTCCTGCCCATTTGTCTGTTGGGCGTTCTGTCTGTCGTCGAGGTTCACTTTGCTCGGTGTTCTGTGGTAGCGCGCGTGTCGAAGATTCGAGTCCAGGGTATCCAAGGTACTGCTTCTTTGTCGTCGAGTCGCTTTGGTCGAGTTTGGACGTCGTCACTAAAACATAACCTCCAGATCACAATTTGCAGCCTGCTGTGCGCGATCCGCAAACATGTCTCAGGAACCTCAGTCTCCCACCCGTCAGGGTCGCCCCTCCATAACTGCTTCGATGCGGAGCAGTTCGTTTCTTAGAGAGCATCAGCAGTACCGTCCTCCAAGCAAGCCCGAGAACCACTACGGAATCGACACGGTTGTGGAGGATCTCCAAGCCACCAGCGTGTCCCCCCCGCGCGAGATCTCTCCCTTCAAGGGAATCCCCTCGGCTGAGAACCCGCCCAGGATCGTCGATGGCCAGAGCCATGAGCTGTCGCATCCCAACTGCACGCCTTTGCCTGGCGCTTCCACCAACAGACTGATCGCTACTCTGTTTTACAAGTCCACTAACCCCAGAGTATCAAATGCTATCCCCTCACCGCAGCGCAATCCGTCTCCCAAGGGGAGCGGTCAGTCGCCCTCGGTCCGCGCCGCCGACTCGGACCTTCCCCCTACCATGGCGCCGACCAGCAAGCTTGACGACTTTCCCCTCGAGCCTCCCGCCACCGAGCCTGAGCCCCTCGACCACCTCTACGGCGCCAACGTCTCGCCGATGTGCATCGCCTCCTTCCTTCACCTCATGTCTACCTTTCCTCTCCCTGCCGGCTCGACCGACCTTCACTCTTCTCACCGCTGCCTGAAGATCGACCAGTCTCACCAAGAACACCATCCCACCGTCGTCGAGCTCACCCTTTCCCCGGCGCCCGCTTCCGACTACCTTCCCCTGAAGGACCTCCGCAAGCACGAGCTCATCTACCGCTTCGAGAGAGAATGGAACGTCGACGTAGCCCTCCGAGCCGATACCCTCTGGCGCCGGTACCCCCGCTTGGTGGTGTTCGACATGGACAGCACCCTCATTACTCAGGAGGTCATCGATCTCCTGGCTGCCACCATCAAGGACCCCCCTGATCTTGCTGCCCGTGTGGCAGATATCACCCATCGCGCCATGATGGGAGAGCTCGAGTTCGACTCTGCCTTCCGCGAGCGCGTAAAGTTGCTTGCTGGCCTCCCAGGGACGCTCTTCAATGAGCTTCGCCCTGTACTTGACGTTACAAACGGTGTCAGACCGTTGATCAAGGCTCTCAAGAGGCTTGGCGTCAAGACCGCCGTCTTGTCAGGTGGTTTCTTGCCCTTGACCAGCTGGTTGGCTGGTGAGCTGGGAATTGACTATGCTCATGCCAACGAGGTTGTCATCGATGAGCAGACCGGGAAGCTGACCGGTGAGGTCAAGGGGAGGATCGTCGGGAAGGAGAGAAAGAGGGAGTTGTTGATCGAGATTGCAGAGAAAGAGGGCATCGCACTTGAACAGGTTGTTGCGGTCGGTGATGGAGCGAATGACTTGTTGATGATGGAAGCCGCGGGCTTGGGAGTGGCGTGGAACGCGAAGCCTATGGTGCAGATGGAGGCAAGCTCGAGGTTGAACGGGGATAGTCTTTTGGATTTGCTGTATTTGTTTGGGTTTACCGAGGAGGAGGTAAGGCAGCTTTCAGCTTAGGATAGGGAGGGAGATATGAATCGAGTATAAAAACAAGGGATGGGCCACAAAAAAAAAGGAATAACACAGTGCCAGAGGATAAGGCTTTAGATTATACATCTAGCAGGTAGAGAGTGTACGCTGTGGGATGGTAGAGGTATAGCTATACACGCATGCCTGTGGCATTGCCTTGAAGACGAAAGATGGGTTGCTTGTCTCGTGTGATAATGCTGCTCTGCAATTGACAGACTGCCCTGGGCGGTTGAAACTGAAGAGAGACGAGGCAGGTATGAGTTTGGAATCCTTTAGTCCCAAGATATCGATTCCAACCGTTAGGTATTCACTGTGTTCCCGATATGAAGCTGGAAGATTGCAGATCGTTTATCGATACCAAGCCTGCGTGGTTCAAAACGCTCCACCAATAGTATCTCATCTTGACCTCATAAAAAGTTGTGAGCAGGGTTTAAAGATCATGTCTCGATTAGTTTGTTCGTCTGAGAAAGCGCTTGCCATTATGATAGACTATTATTCTCCTGACAGCCCTAGAGTTATCTTTGTTGAACGCATTCTCTACCAGCCATCTATGCCCTCGAGACTTAGAGTTACTTGTCAAGCTTGATACTCGGTGCGTTCTATGGGTCCTAGACTTGGGATTGCCCCCATACGGTTGGTTGAGCTGAGGTTGAGGGCGGCTGGTCTGTGTAGATTGGAGCATGATACATGCCGAAGTTGAGTTGATTCGTGATTTGGTGTGTCATGGTGTGGGCACTGTTGGTAGGCAACGGTAGGGTCAAACTCAGGGTTTGTGTGGTAACCTTCATCTTGGAAGCGTTGGCAGGTTTGAGGCCGTTGAACGCTGAGGACGGGTCGTGGTGACTTTGGGTTGAAGATGAGTCAAGCTTCACATCCTCATGCCGTGGACAGAAAACGGTTTTGTCAATGGGGAAGCACATGATTCCCTTGAGAAATATGCTGAAGAGTATCCATAGGCCCCAAACACGATAGCCCTTCGGTGAGAGATATGGATAGCTGTGAATGGATCTATTATGCCTTCCAGGGCAGCCAACAGGCTTTCAACCATAGTTGACAGGTTCATTTGATATTTCAGAAGGCCCAAGTTAGATACCTGAACTACCTGACGTAGAATGGCTGCAGTGTTGTCCAGAGCGTATATAATCCCACGGGGATAGGTGATGGAAAAGAAAAGCGGGGAGAAGGCCACCCGTCTGGTATACAGAGATCTGGCTCCCAATAACTGGGTCACGAGAGAAAAGCCAAGCACAAGAAACCGCAGACAGCTATGCCGGTGAGCACGTCACTGCCCAAACCAATGGGCCGGAATCCAAGTCACTCCTCAAGTGGACCGGGGCTCTACACCGACGACTAGGCTAAGGCAGGATCATGTACAAGCATTCACATAGGAGAGCGCCATGCTGGAGAGCTGTGACGAATCCAGAACCCTACACGCAGATCTCCCGTCCAGTCAATGGCCAACCGGGCTGACGGGAGGCTTTGTGTCTCTCTCGGGCCGGATGACTCCTCAGGCCTCGAAAGCCACCCCCGTCCTATTCATACCCGAATCGATAGCCTTTGTCCACAACGGGAGGGACGGGTAAGGTAACTCCAAGACTTTAGCTTCAAAGTGGGGATCTTGGGTCGAGAAAAAAGAAAATTCGAACCCAGCCAGGTGCCGCTGCAACATCGAGCATGGTTTCTCGGGTATCTTTGTGCTCCCATCCCATCCGATACTATCTTGTAAGGTGTAGCCACAGCGAAGCATACTTGTCATGGACCAAAGCCACCACAGGTCTTGCTCGAGATCTCGACGTCGATGGCGCCGCCAAAGGGTGTGAGATTTCCCTGGGCAATCCAACCATTGAGGTCGGTGAAGGGTGGAATCATGCTTCCAGCAAACTCCCTGGAGAGTTGGAGGGTGGCCCGGCAACACGGTAGGCGACCCCCCTGGAAGGGGCTCGGTGGGGTTTTCGAAAGCAGAGATCTCTTCTCGAAAAAGCTTGACGAAGCGTTGCCGTTGAGAAGCTTGGCAGCGGGAGCCCTGAGCCTCACAGGGACTATTACATAATATCAGTCGTCGAGGTCACATCCAAGGCCATGATCGTACCTCTGTAGGGAAAGGACCTTGCCGTGTTCGATGCAGGAAGACGCACCTTTACGTTGCCCCCGACCTCCTGGAAATCTCAGAGCAGGTCATTGGAGAGCTAACAAAGGCCTACCCTGAAGCTGCCGGGGAGCTACGTGGGATTCTTGGGTTGGCATCACCAAAGCTGTGTTCGTGTTGCCATGTCAACATCATGGTGATCGGGGAAGCCACCCTGAAAAAAAGATTTGCAAGAAATGCCTCTGTGAACTTGACAAATGGACTAGCTTGGGGTGGCTGGCAGGCTGGGTGGGCTGGACAACAGCTTCGCAAGCGGCCGACGTCAATGTCAACGTCAAGATGGGATGTCACAGACTCCAGATGGCACATTCGTATCGCACGCAGCATTGTGGGTGGCGCGCTGTCGGCGGTTTGGTATTGCATTCGCCTCGATGAAACTGAAGCAGTTCTGCTATTGGCCCAGGCCAAAGCATTGGACGTTCTTGCCACCGTCCCCCGCGGCAAACCGTTCATGAAACCCCGCTTCAAACCCATTTTGAGAGGTGCCAATTCACGAACGAGAGAGGTTCGTGGTAGGGATTGTGGAAACAAAGTTCTAAAGCTCGGTGCCACCGCAACACGCCGTGTCTGCCAAGCTGGGCTGGCTCGAGTGAGAGGCGAATCGAAAGAATCTCACGATTGACTCACGCGGCAAGCAAATCAAGCCCTGGAGCAATTGTCGCATGGTGTGTCGTTGGGCTGGAAGCCAGATGCAGCAGAGAGAAGCCCAAAGATTTGACAAGCAAACACCCCTCCCACCTTCCAAGTACCTCAGTATCTTAGCCATGTACCTCGAGCGGTCGCACGACCATTGGAACCACCCGGGCATCCTGGTGAGGACGGAAAATATCACAGCAAGGATTAGCATGAAGGAGGGGCTTATCGTCGTGGGCGCCAAGTGAGGGGCAGTCTGAAGCATCGCCAATGTCTGAGAGGGGCAGCTCCGTGCCTCACGGCAATAGAATCACCACTCGCCGGACACGTCACAAGGGAAGAAGTCAAGGGAGCACAGAGAGTAGTCACAAGAGAGAACTCGAGATGATATTATTTTTTTGAAAAATTCCAGCTGTTTGTGATCGTGATCAACAGAGCCCTCGAGTACTTTGGTCACAGTAACCCGCTACAAGACGCAAGCTGCTGCAGTGAAGGCAGCCTGACCGGCGGGGCGGCAAGGCGCGGCGTTCCATTCTCCAATCAGAGGCCGTAGATTTCGAGGGCTTGACCCGCTTCCTGCTCAAAATTTTTGTGGTCTGTAGTGGGACCCACTTAAATTCTGCCTCTGCTGTCTTTACCCCACCAACCTGCCTCGCCCCTCCTCCTCTTGCCCTTAAAAACTTCAACCCCTCCAGAAATTCTTGACTTCCTCTCCCTCTTACTTCCTCCGTCGGCATACCTGATTCGAGCAATCTTACTGCCACTTCAGTACGTTACCCTTCTCGCATCATCAACAGTCACCCTCATCGAGAAGAACATCGCCTTCTAACATCATCGCGCAGCGTATCCCTCAAACTTTTCGATCTGTGATCGCAAAACCGTCAAAATGGGGTAAGTCGACCTTTCATCACCATCGCGGGCATCGTGACCTCGACCGCGACTCGGTCGAACAGCATCACTGACTTCATCAACAGCAAGGAGGACAAGACTCACATCAACGTCGTCGTTATCGGCCACGTCGATTCCGGCAAGTCGACCACCACTGGTCACTTGATCTACAAGTGCGGTGGTATTGACAAGCGTACCATCGAGAAGTTCGAGAAGGTCAGTTTTCCCCTCATTTCCCTTCATTTCCTTCACTTCCACACATTTCGCACACATCGCATTCACTGGCGATTTGGGCGGTTTTTCGCCTGGTTCACCACATTTCCCCGCCATTTTCTGCCTGCCTTTGTGCTGCCCCTCCTCTCATCATGGTGGGGGAGGGGCACACAAAAACGCACAGTTGGCAAATTTTTTCGAGCACGGACCCCACTTACCCCGCGATTCTGCCCTTCGCTCAACACCACCATCACCGCCATCATCCATCATCAGACTTGACAATGTCGAACATCGTGACTGACTTCATCAACAGGAAGCTGCTGAGCTCGGCAAGGGCTCTTTCAAGTATGCCTGGGTTCTTGACAAGTTGAAGGCCGAGCGTGAGCGTGGTATCACCATCGATATTGCCCTCTGGAAGTTCGAGACCCCCAAGTACTATGTCACCGTCATTGGTAAGTTGACACCTGTCATGCATCCTCTGTCCTCGCATCACGCTGACATGTTTGCTCCTCCAGATGCCCCCGGCCATCGTGATTTCATCAAGAACATGATTACTGGTACTTCCCAGGCCGATTGCGCCATTCTCATCATTGCCGCCGGTACTGGTGAGTTCGAGGCTGGTATCTCCAAGGATGGCCAGACCCGTGAGCACGCTCTCCTCGCCTACACCCTCGGTGTGAAGCAGCTCATCGTCGCCATCAACAAGATGGACACCACCAAGTGGTCCGAGGCCCGCTTCAACGAGATCATCAAGGAGACCTCCAACTTCATCAAGAAGGTCGGCTACAACCCCAAGACTGTTGCCTTCGTCCCCATCTCCGGTTTCAACGGCGACAACATGCTTGAGGCTTCCACCAACTGCCCCTGGTACAAGGGCTGGGAGAAGGAGGTCAAGGGTGGCAAGGCCACCGGCAAGACCCTCCTTGAGGCCATCGACTCCATCGAGCCCCCCAAGCGTCCCACCGACAAGCCCCTCCGTCTTCCCCTCCAGGATGTCTACAAGATCGGCGGTATCGGCACAGTCCCTGTCGGCCGTATCGAGACTGGTATCCTCAAGCCCGGTATGGTCGTTACCTTCGCTCCTTCCAACGTCACCACTGAAGTCAAGTCCGTCGAGATGCACCACGAGCAGCTCGCTGAGGGTGTTCCCGGTGACAACGTTGGTTTCAACGTGAAGAACGTCTCCGTCAAGGAAATCCGCCGTGGCAACGTTGCCGGTGACTCCAAGAACGACCCCCCCATGGGCGCCGCCTCTTTCGATGCCCAGGTCATCGTCCTCAACCACCCCGGCCAGGTCGGTGCTGGTTACGCCCCCGTCCTCGATTGCCACACTGCCCACATCGCCTGCAAGTTCTCTGAGCTCCTGCAGAAGATCGACCGCCGTACTGGTAAGGCCGTTGAGGAGAGCCCCAAGTTCATCAAGTCTGGTGATGCTGCCATCGTCAAGATGGTTCCCTCCAAGCCCATGTGCGTTGAGGCTTTCACTGAGTACCCTCCCCTCGGTCGTTTCGCCGTCCGTGACATGCGTCAGACCGTCGCTGTCGGTGTCATCAAGAAGGTCGAGAAGGCCGCTGCTGGTTCCGGCAAGGTTACCAAGTCCGCTGCCAAGGCTGGCAAGAAATAAATCATTTCTTCCACCTAAACAGCAAAAACAAAAATTCGCTTCCAGGGACACAGGTCATTGGCCACCGAAAGGAAAGCGTCACGCGATGTGTGTTGGCGCTACGGATCTCTTGGCTCAATTTGAGCAATCGGTTATTTGGTATGGGGCACAATTTTGAGGAGGGAAAGGTCATGGGTTTCTGCGGCAAAACTTTCTCATATGTGCTTTAGTACAAAATAGAGTCCCTTAGAGGTGATCACGAACGTTATGATCTTTTCTACTGTGAATATGTGTGCTTTGGTGTTGCTTGTGATTGTTACTCTCTCTTGATATGTTGTTGCCTGAGGTCATCACCTTTGCCTCTCTGAAGGTGGTGATGCTTGTCCATGGTGTTGTAAGTTGCGTGCTGGCAAGCAGTTCTCCAATGATGTCATGCCGTTCTGTGGTTCCACGCCATGATCTTGGCTTGTCTCTTCCCAAGCATCGACTCTCCCCACGTGGGGCCAACAACGAATCCGACAGGCAGACCGACCTCTTGTTCACCGACGAGTTGAGACCCTCATGCCAATACAAAAGAACACCACCGCGGTCCAGCCATGCTCAAACATGATCGACCGAGCGTTACCCCTCACTCGTTTGCTTCTCTATACTGACCGCCCAGAAAAATAGCCCTCGAGATGCATCACTATCCACGTCAGCCTCGGGCTTGGCTTCTCGACATGGTGTTTATAATATTCTGCTGAAGCAGCGTCGATATCCTCCCAGGCTGTCCCAGTTCCTATCGACATGAGCCTCATCTGCCAATAACACCCATTTCGTGTCTAGATGGCCAGGCAATCTTCGTGGTCCTCGAGGACTCTCGCTCACTTTCGTCAAGGCGGCAAACTGGAGCCGTTCAGACTTCTCAGGCAAGATGCTCGCAACCTTCGGAGGCGATGGGTGTCGGACTGGACAGTCTTCAACCAGCTCGTGGTAGCCAGCGCTGTCTACGTCTTTTTTACCAACATCCTGCCCGGCATCACTTTTGCGAGTGATCTGTACGTTCTCACTGGGAGATCGTGGGGGACGATTGAGGTTGTTTTTAGCACTGGGTTGTGTGGTGTCATCTTTGCGGTGTAAGTCACTGTCTGGTAGGAGTTGGTTATGGGTTTGGGGACTAATGGGATGTGCGTTGTGGTAGGTTCTCTGCTCAGCCGTTGACTATTCTTGGGGTTACTGGGCCGTTTTCGGTGCTGGCCGAGAATTTGTACGAGTTGTGCAGTGATAGCTTCAAGGTATGGTTGTTTGTGTATATATATATAGATATATATATTTCTTTTTGAGAAGCTCAGTCTGACTGGATTAGGTGCCCTTCCTGCCTGTTATGGCCTGGTCTCTTATCCATTCGGCCTGGATGCATTACCTTTTGGCCATCTTCAACGCCCACGACTGGACCATGCAGTATGTTACAGACTTCAGCGCCGATATATTCTCGCTGCTCAACAGCATCATCTACTTCCACAAGGCCGCCATGGAGCTCAAGCGGACGCACGAGCAGATGCCGCTGGACTCGTTTCTCTACGCCATGATTGGCGCTGTTGGGACGTGTTTGGTTGCTATACTCCTGTCCACGGCTACAAAGTGGAAGCCCCTTTTTGGGCGTGTCATCCGGATGGGATTGTCTGAGTATGCAGCTGCGATATCGATTATTCTGTTTGTTGGGATTCCGTATATTGGAGACCTGGCCGACTTGGATCATGGCCGGCTTGCGGTGCAGACTTCTTTCCGGCCGACGAATCCAGAGCGCGAGGTGTTTTTTGTGAGGTTCTGGGAGCTGCCTGTGGAGTGGGTGTTTATCTCGATCATCCCAGGGGCGATCATCACGATACTTTTCTATTTTGACCATGAGATCAGCAGCATCATCTGCACTGTCGACCGGTACGGGGTGAAGAAACCTGGAGGATATGCTTGGGATATTGCCTTGCTGGGCACGACAACGGCCTTGTGTGGGATATTGGGTATCCCGCCGGCCAACGGGCTGTTGCCACAGGCACCACTTCATTCAGAATCCCTGCGGCATTGGGTAGTTGATGAGGATCAAGTTGTTCCGGCCCCCGAAGAAGAAGAAGGAAGCGGCGCCCATACGAACCTTGTTCCCAGGGTCTACGAACAGCGATACTCCCACTTCCTGCAAGCAGCCATGATAATGGTGTTTGTCAGCCCGCCTTTCCAGCGAGTCTTGGGTCTGACACCGACTTTCGGTGTTGGCGGGATTGTTCATGTTTATGGGTTATCAGTCCCTCAGTGTGAACCCTATGCTGACGAGGTTCTTTCACTTGCTCACACCGCCATCTGAGCTGCCCGAGTTGCCTGCGGGGGTGGGTTGGGGAGGGGTGCATGCTTATACTGTCACGCAGATTTTGGTCACGGTGGGGATCTTTGCCGTGACGCTTACGGTTGCGGCGCCGGGGTTTCCGCTGTTGATCATCATCTTGGTGCCGGTGAGGTTGTGTGTGATGAATCGGGTTTGGGGGAGGGAGACGTTGAGGTTTGTAGATGGCTGGGCCTGTCGGGAGGGGAAGCCGGAGGATGATGAGATGGTGGGAGGGGATGAGGGGTTTGTGGCCGGGGGAAGAGACGTGGAGGATGGAGGGGAGAGGTCCAAGAGTCAATGACAGCAGGGGAGGGAGGTGTCTGGATGCCGAGATTGGACGATGTTTGGGAGTCCATTCAGTTTCGGGGTCCGGGAAGAGATGCCTTTATCATTCTTGAGCTCATTTTGTCACTGTCAAAGGTCGACATCAAGCATTAGAATAAGCACTTCGAACTTATTTGGCAGTTTTTTTTTTTTTTTTTTTTCCATTTTGCAACTATCTACCTAACCGAACACCCGGCTCCCAAGAATCGAACAGCCAGTTCTCGAGAAGGGATTAAAAGAAACTATGAGAGAAAGCCAACCGAAAACGCCTTGGTGTCAGTATCTGGTGTACACAACTTCATACCCATCGCTTTGAAAATGCAAACATCTATCATCTTTGCCCCGCCCCCATTTACAAAACAGTCGTTAATCCTTGGCAACTCGTGTACATCTTGCTTCAGACTCAAAAAGAAGGAGAGAGAAGACAAAAGAAAAGGCGGGCATGTTTTAAACATCACCATACCGGCTGTTCTGGTTCTGGTTGCCATTGTGATGCCCCTGGCTCTGGTAGTACCTCTGGTTTCCGAAACCGGCTGCCCTCCTCGAGCCCTGAGCGGACTGCCGGAGGACGTTGAGCTCCTCGTCGCTGGAGGTGGTGGCCGTGCTCTCGGACTTTCTGAACCCGCCCTGCTTCCTCCACTTGCTGCTCATCATGACACCGAACACCATGCAGGGGTTGAACACGTTCATCACCACCACGGCAATGAGGATCATGACCGACTCGAACGCGATGAAGAGATCCTCCCTCGCCATGAGGGGGCCGTTCCAGCCCTCGGACAGCTCCGCGACACGGAAGCACGACCGCCAGAAGATGGCAACGGTGCTGACCGCGAGCGCGATCATGATGGCCTTGAACATGAACCCCTGACGGATGGACTTGGCAGGCTCGGCTTGCTCGAACCCGGCGTCGGGTCCGTAGGTCTTTTTGCGGTTGCGGACCCGGAGGAGGAACTCGCCCGACACGGCGAGGAAGACGGCGAGGATGAAGACCTGGAAGGAGAGACCGGCGATCATGATGTTGTTGCCCATGTTGAGGAGGTCGATGTCGTCCGAGGCGGCGGCGATGCCACCTCCCGAGGCTTGGAGGACAAGAGAGACGACGTCGCAGGGGATGAACTGGTTTTGGTCAGCACTCTGGCCTTTCAAGATGTGAAGAAAAAGTTGGGGCGGGCGACTCACGATGCGGGTATACCAACCGGCGGGCAACCTGCTGCTCTCCTCACCATAGACGCTCACCACCTTGGCCAGGCAAGTGTAGATACCTGCAGCCAAAAACGCCGGTCCAATCGTCAGAGTCACAATCTGAATCATGAAGCCCATGTCGTCCCAGGGGTTCTTGGCCGATGCGGCTCTCCCGGCGTAACCGATGATTTCACACAGCAGCCCAAGACACATCATGACGGTGAAAAAGGTGCCCTGGCGGCGGGAGCGGAAGTAGGTGATGATGAAGGCGATGAAGGAGACGCCGAAGAGGGCGGCGAAGATGGCGTTGGTGGTGAGGGAGGGGATCTTTTCCCAGACGCCCTCGATGGGAGGTTGGGCGTCGAAGCAGAACTGAGCTGTTGTGGCGGCGCAGTATTTCTCCCACGTGTCGTAGCCTTCGGGAGCAGGCCCGTGGTTGTCTTCGTTGACGGTGGAGGACATTGCGGCTGTTGGTGGTGGTGATCTGTTGGGAACGGTGTTGGAGACGGTGGGGATTACGGGCTAGGCCCAGTGGATAACGATGGTTGGGAGGTTCAAATACTGCTGTGTGAAGGTGTCGTTGCCTGTCTCTTATGTCCGATGAGTGGAAGTTGAAGAGATGGTTGTATACGGAGTTCAGGTTCTTGATCCCAGGCGAGAGGGAGATAGAGGGGGTATAAGAGTGATAAGTGGAGGGGAAAGAGACTGATATCACAGCCTTCTTGTTGTGCCTGAAGGTTATAGTTTCAGCTGGAGCATGTCTCGGAGGACCGGGTGTGGTAGAGATTCAGGAGGAAGGGTCTTTTATGAGAGGTATGTTTGTCCATTGTCTGTCTCCGGTCCAGCCCCCCGTTCCCTTCACCATCGGACCCCGGGCTCCAATTCTTTCCTTTTTTGACCCGTTACCACACACGAGGGATTGTTCTTTTGTTTGGTACCACCGTGACGTACCCCCCGTACCTGCCCCCGTTGGTGCCGCCGAAGGGGAGGGGGTTGTCCTTGTCTCGGGAGGGCTATGCTGTCTGGGTGAGATACAGGTCTCACCTATCAACGGGCAAGGGTCTTGGTCATCTTGGGTCCGGGCATTAGGGCCTTGTAGACGTGGGCATGGGGAAAACAGAGAAAGGTGACGCAAGCAAATGCAAGCAGATGAGAGGTTGGCTTGTTCCGAGCCATTGGATCTTCGTGTCAGGTAGGGTTCTGACGAGAGGTTAGTTCAGTACAGTAAAGTGTATTGCGTTTGTAAGAAACAAACAGGCGGCAGGTTCTCAAAAAATACACTGCCTCACTGACCGACCGACGCAACGGGTCGTGGCTCGTGGGTGAGACCCAGCCTTGTTCGCCTCGTGGACGTTGCAACCTATCGACCCGGTACGGAATCAACGCGCGCCAGCTTCCTCCCGTTGGTGATGTCGCACGGCGTGATGCGCTGAGGCTGGTTGAGCGTTGGATAGGAATTTGCTGGTGTGGTGCGATGGGATTTCCGAATTCACGTCCGACCAATCCTTCCTGGGACGACCGCAAAGAGATCAACAGGGGGCTCTCGGATGCATTGGCTCGCACTTTTGTCCGGCTCTTTGGGTATCAGTTGTCGAAAGTCTTCCTCGAGCGGCGGTGTATGTGGCACCGTTGCTTCGGCGCAAAATGTTGCTGTAAAAGCGGGAGTTCCCATTTTGCGTGGGCGTGGGCGCGGGTACGGAACCGGAGTGCTATTGACATCTGCAGGGCCGAGACCAGCCGTATAATTGTTCGCCAGGCCCACGTATCTGATTCTAAAATTCCGATTATGCCACATGGCGGCGTGTCATCTCCCAAGCGCGGAATTAGTCCTTTGTTGGCGTGGTGAATTCCGAGCAGGCGACACCTCTCATAGGTAGTTCAGCATCGTGACCATCGAGTACTAAATCGTTGATAAGAGAAGAAGAAGATCATCACCCAAGTGAGCCGCAAAGCGCTCTGGGTATCGGTAATCTGTAATACCTGATCATCCTCTCATCAGAGGTCAGTGTCGACGGAGGTCGCGGATAACAAGGCGCACGTAGCCAACACAGGCAGATCCGAATGGGGTCATTTTTGGCAACAGAAGGATTCCCAACCGGGCTTACTGACATGGCAAACTGAAAGCCAAGACATCTATAAGATACCCTCGCTCACCGTCCCTCTCGCCTGCTCTGTCCTCGATTTCTTCAGCTTTTGTTCCTGTCTCACACAGTGCCTCCATTCCTCTCCCATACTTCCCGAAAGGACCGACAGTTCAAATCCTCGCTGAGACCCCGAAGAATAATAACATGCACTGGAAATGTATGTTTCTTCCTGATCTACACACCAACGTCTTCCACCACTTCCATGGAACAGGAACCAAAAAATAGGAACAGGCATAAGATCATCCCCTTCCACATGTCAACCGGGTTTAGGCCTCTCAACACAATGCATGCGATTAACCTGAGACATCACATTGGAACAGAAACTGAGATCCGTCCCCTCTCCAACACAAGGTAGGGTTCCATCTTCCCAGATCTGTTTGCGTCACCGCACCAAGCAAAGACCCTTGATCCAACCACCACCCAAGTATCAACTCGAGTTTTCTTCTGTCGGCCCTAATCGCCGCCCCCATTGCATGGAACGGAGCCGGAGCAACACCTCGTGCAACCCGCTCCCGCCTCTTCCCGCCGCCCAGCTGTGTAAGCTGAGCGCCCATGCCGCCCACCTGATTGGCCAACCCGACAGGTTGGGCTCTCACTGTTTCATCCTGCAGTACGTACACACTATCAGTAAGGCTGGCGCAACAGCCAACTCTGCCTGTAATGACACATACGGTATTTTACCCCATCCTTGAGCCGGGAATCTCTCCTAGATCTCCTCACCCCCTCCCCACCCTTCCAGTCGAATTCCGCCCCGTTTCCCCCGGTTGTGTGTAGGACGAGAGCGTATCATCTTCGGCCCGAACGAAAAAGCAAAGCACAGAATACAGATTCAAGATAAGATCTGGCAGGCGGAAAGGAAGGATCTCGTACATTCGAGATCTGGTGCGTGGCACAACTCGCTTGCCTGAACCGTTCAGTGGTTGATATGGCTGCCTGCCCCGACTCACGCCGTCTTGTCAATGCCCTGGCAGGGAGACATGGTGATAAAGCACATCAAGTTCCCACCGCTTCTTGACTCTCCTCTCTCCGATAAAACCGATGACACCCAAAACTTGGAAACATCTCCATTCAACTCCCAGCATCGCACCCACGTGGACTTAATCATGGCTGGAAAAGTAACGGTGAAGCTCGCTACCTCGCTACCATGGTCTGGGGATGGCACCCTCTCAAACTTCTCTTCTCTTCAGCCAAAAGAGCCACGGGGCCGGAGGGTAAATTGGAGGTACAAACAATAGGCAGTGAAAACAAAACCGCGAGGACCGGGACCCGATATCATCATCCATCTGTCGGTCTTTCTGGCCGAGTTCCAGACGATGACGATGAGACAGGCCAGATGTCTACTCTATCTCGCGTCTCAGATCTCAGATCAGATCTTCAAATCCCAACTAACCCTCCCGCTCTCCTCAAAGGGCCACTGAGACGTAAATCTTCAAATCCACTTCCACAGATCTTGTCCATGAATATCGCCCGACTGTCATTACTCTTTGCATGCGTATGTCTGTATCTATCCAACTGTAGTAACCATGTATACCTATGCAAAACAAGACAAAAAAAAAAAAAAAAAAAAAAAAAAAAAAAAAAAAAAAGCCTCGCAACCAGCAGTTCCAGGCCACAATGCCCAGCGACCAGATAGCGTTCTGTTAATCTCGGTCAAAGGCCTTTCCCATAGGATTATTTGTCACCCCCCTGACTGTTCTTTTCCCAATCTAGAACCCAAAGAAAAACCAATCTTGAATGAATGAAACAGCTCATAATCAAACGCCAAAATGCATCATCCTAATCAACCTCTCACTTCTTCAACCCAACGCTTGCAGCCGACCCCTTCCTCGAATGCACCGACCCGCTCCCACCACCCTCATCCGAACTTCCCGCTCCACCTCCCGGACTGCTAGCAGTCAACCCAGCAATATCATTCGCGCTCGTCGTGACCCCCCCGACGGCCTTACCTTTGCAACATTCCTCGTCAGTGTTCTTCTGCCCCTCCTTCCCCATCAAGAACAGCAACAGCGTCGGAGAACTTACTGGCACCCAGACTAATTCCCCTCCCTCCCCTCATAGAGTCAAAACTCATATGACTCCCTCCCGTCCCCCTCCTCTTTGGAGTAGTCATCATGTTCATCATCCCCGTCATCCCCGTCGTGGCGGCGTGAGGGCCAGTGTCGCCAGCTGGACTGTCTGCGAACCCGTCCGTCATCTCCGCTTTGGACACGGGCGTGTGCGGGGAGTTTGGGTAGTCCTCGCCACCGGAAGCAGCTATCTCGGCAGCTAGGTTCCCCTTGCTAGCCCTCGGCCTGGCAATCCTACTTGTCCTAGGTGGCAAGACGGTGGGTTGGAGCTGTAGCTGCTGCTGTGTTGTCGGCGAAGGGATGTGGCTCTCCCTCGACCATGGCCTCTCACGGTCCTGAAACTGTGGCAGGCCCTTCGACTCAAACTTCAACGGGCTTTCTAGCCTCTTTGTAGGTGACACCCCCCATTCACTTTGCGCCTCCTCCATCTCCTCCCCAGTCCCGGCCGCGTCCTCATTTGAACTCCCATTCAACTCCACGACCCTCACTGTTTCTTCCCCAACCGCTGTGCTGACATCACTATCAGCCACATCACTTCCCCTAGCCAGGTGGCTTCCCCTTCTTAGCCCACTCTCCATCTTGACCAAGTCTGTGTGCTGTTTTCTGACAGTTCTATACCGCTCATACTCCTCCCTCGTATGCTCCGCCCCAGTGAAACTCTCCAGCGCATCAAAGACATGCTGGAAAACCAACTTGTCCACGTCCCTCGCCCACAAAAAGTCCAGGTGCTCATAGTGTGGGATCTCGTTGGCTAGCGTTTGACTAGGAAGCTCCTTCAGCATGGCCTTGATATCGACCAACGAGTCACTACCTCCGTATACGAGCACGATCGGCGTCTTGATGTTCCTCGTCGGGTACCTAGCGACTTTGGTGTACTTGTTGCTGGTGGCTGAGATCAGGGGCCGGTGGACATCGTCATCATACATCTGGAAGGACTTGGTTCGTATGATCTGGAACCAGTGTACCACTGATTTTGTTGAGGTGAACGAGTAGAGATGAGGGTAAGCGGCCAGTTTCTGCGAAGTGCTGATGTTTTTGGTTTGCCAGTTGAAGAGAAAGGAGAGACCTAGATCGATGAGCTTGGTGAACAGTGGTGGATAGAGGATTGACTGCCACATGGTGGCCGAGCTGAGTATGGACCGCCGGCCGAAAAGGAGGAACAGCACCTGTGGCGAGGCCTTGACCAGAGCGTCAACTATGCCGTTAGACAAGCCCGCTGGCGACATGGCTGGCGCCAGAGCGATAAAGACATTGACCTGCTCGTTGAGCTTGGGGTGGATGGACAAGCTGGCAAAAGCCTGCGCGGTGCCTTGGGAGAAGCCGATGTAGGAGAGGGACGGCTGGCCGGTGATCTCGAGAATGTAGCTGATGCTATTAGGAATATCGTGGAGGGCAAATTGGTCAATGGAAAAGTTCCAAAACTCAGTCGTCGTGGGGGAATATCGGATCGACTTTTTCGAGTACTTGTTGCCCCTGTTGTTTCCGAGCTAGAGATATGATCAGCCATGTGCCCTCTCCTCGGCACCCCATTTTGAGGTTACCTACCCAAACGTCAAAACCCTTCTCCACCAACGCAAAGGGCAAAGCGCGCTGCTCATCCGTCAAGCAAACCCACACCTCGCTGTTCATTAGCAGCCCATGGTGCAGGTAAACCACCTTCTTCCTGACGCTGGTCGGCCCGCGATTCACCCTCCGTTCCTCCTCCCCCTTCCGCCATGCAAGTCTGTGTATTCCCAGCAAATACCCATCCTCGGTTCGTACCACGTGTTCCTCGGCGGTGTAGCCAAACATGGCACATAAATCGACGAAATCGGAGGCATCGCGAATCGAGGCCGAGACCGCTGGATTTCACCGTCAGTATTGTTACCCCTAGCATCTTCCAGCACAAACAACATGCATTTTCTCCTCTGCTCTGCCCGCTTCTGCGCTGGACTAGTCCACCTATTAAACAGACGTCTCGAGATCCCGTAACATAGCTGTAATAACGACGGCGCTGAACAATATGATTAGCTCGGGAGCTCAATCTGGGTGGAGATCAAGATAGGGGGCCGTCTCACGCAAAGCAAGCGTAAATATTCGAATAAAGGCCTCGAGCCCTACAAGCAAAAAGGATCCAACAAGGGCGGCATATTCGGTGCTATTTCTCCCAAATAAACCATCTTATCAGTAAATTGTTGTTGTCTCTCTGCCACCACGGGGTGTGAATGTCTCACGGGTTAAGGCGCCCCAGAAAGGGGACAGGCATCTTGGCGGGCTTGCTGTATTCCACTGGTTGGCTCTTATCTGACGACCATTGGCGCGCTTTTCGTATGCCGGACGTTGTTTGGGTGAATTTGTGTAAATATCAATCAATCTGAAAACAACTTGCAAAAGGGAAACATTCCTATATCGTACAAAAGGACCGTAACAATCTTCTCGGAGCGAGCCGATTGGGGGTGCGAGGCGAGGATCGAGGGAAGCTTGCTCCACCGCCTGTCAGAAGGTTGTTAGTTAGGTGAAGGCTGCTGCTGAAACGGGGCGATGTGATGTCACAGGTGTCAGAGCGTCACATGCAAAATTGTTGGAGCTTGCTGTGCCGTCCCGCAATGTATGTACAGCTTGCATAGTACTCCGTAGTGTGGAAGTCTTTATATTGAACAACTGGCACGCTGGGTTCTTTTGCAACGAATTCAAAGTTTGGAGGCAAACATTGTCTTTTCATTATTGATGCAGGGCGTAAGCCTGGGATGATACGGATGATATCAGGGTTGCGTGTGGCCAGGGTTGTATATGGCATGCAATATCCACCCTGTCATGGTTGTTGTCACCCTCGGTGTGGCTAAATAAAGGCGTACCCAAAACATGGCCTTCTGAGTAAAGTTCATAAACAGAACACGAGCAAATGGCGTAAACGCCTATCTCTCAACAGCTAGTGACTCCGATGGTGTAAACCACCGCCTGACTGGCCCGCAGGGAAAATAAATATCTTCCCCGACGCACATGCAACAGGGTAGGTTGACCACAACCATCATCACCATCAACCCTTGTCATTGATTCGGCAGAGTGGATCTTGAGGATTCATCGAAGAGGGAAACCATTAAGAAGGTGTTTGACTGTCAGCTACGGGTCAGAGCCTGACAGAGATGAGCAACCTCCTCACTGAAGGGTGCTTTTAGTTCTTTCCAAACCAGTCCCCTTCAGGTCAAATCATCTGCCAAACTCGGTTGAACGCCTTCGTCACGTCGAGTATTCTCTGGTATCATCAAATCCAATCCATATCGCCATTACTCCTCTGACTAGTGCTCATTATGACTTACGCATCTTCTAACAAAATTCCTCGCTGGCGGCCGTTGACCCTCACGCCTATCAAGGTAAAGGGCCGCGGTCGCAAGCCGAAGTGGCAGCCCCCCAACCCTGCGCAGCTTCAGAGCTTGATGGAGGAGCGCCGAAGGAAAAGAGAGGAGGAGAACGGCCACGATGATGTCGACGGTATTTCATCCAGGTCTTCCAAACGGTCCAAGCAGTCCTTCCCACCGAAGTCTAGGCTCGAGTCGCTACCCCCCGAAATGCTCTGGCCCATAGCCGTCAGGTCACAGAACCTGCATCTCCTGAGGGTCAGCAAGTTTCTTCGAGGTCTCTTGTCAGACAGATCATTTGAACTCGAAATGGCTGTGGCGGCATTCGGCCCAACATGGGATATGTATTTCGGCCGGCCGAGGAGCACTACTGGTAGCCCTCCTGAACCTGAACAGTTTCCCGGGGACCCCAAATTCCAGGTCAGTGTTATGCTCTATTTTGATTAGCGAAGCGTGTCTCCGAAAGCTTGCTGCCCTCTTAGCCATCCTTCGAAACCGGTTGGCTATTTGAAAGAGTTTCCAGGATCCTTTGAGGTGTGGTTGAGCAATGCTATCCTACTTTTTAACATCTCGACCCAGCCGTTCCATATTATGACATCGCCTTTTGACCGAACACAGCGCTGACACGTCTTTCTATAGGGCAATGTGCTTGCTGCGCGTCTCATGCATGACACGCGCTACATGAATGTTGATTTCATCCTCAAAGCCCAGCAGGTCTGGTGTCGCCAAGAGCGCACAGAGAGGCACATGGAAAAAGCGGCGTGCATCTTGTGGAAACCGCCGACCCAGGTACAGCCAAAACAAGAGGGATCGGAAGCCAACAAAGACCAGCGAGCTGAAGAGAAGCAAGAACTTGGATACAGGGAGCGAGAAGTGGAGAAGATCAGGGAGAGGTTCGACGAAGACTGGCAAGAGTTTTGCGACGCCTGCCCGTTTAACAACACAACGAAACTCGAATATGAGATCGGAACGAATACGCAGGGCCCTAAAGGCGGCTATCTGGACCTCCACCCTTTGACACCAATTCCCGATCGGATCTTGAAAGGGCCATTTGACTTGGAATCAGTCAAATTACTCTTCTGGCTGGTTCGTGGAGGGGCCCGCATATTGCCCGAGCACAACTGGGAGGCCACCAAACACGGATTCGAACAGATCATGAACATGGAGAGTCGGCTGGGCATCTATGTGCTCACCCTCTTCGACATTCTCGGCGTGTTCAAGAAGGAGCATTGGCCACCATTTTTGCTCGACGAGAAAATGAAATGGGTCAAAGAGACAAGGCGGGTTGAGATGTCTGCTCAATCGTGGAAGTACCGTCTGTCCATTCTTGCGCATCGCATGTTTTTGTCGCGCCAGGAACAGGAAGAGAACTCGCGCCTGGGACGGGATAGTTTGAATAGTGAGAGGAGGGACAGGGGACCGAGGAGGTGAGACTGCGGCGTTAATGACCATCCTTTGTCTCCAGCGGGTTGTTCATAGAAATAGCTCTTTTGCTGTATGGAAAAGCGTCAATATAATAATTGCAAGCTTACTGGCTCTCTGTGGCACCCTCCCCACAAAGTGATTGGCACAGCAAAAGTAAGTTAACGCATATCAGACTACAAACCATGCCTCTAAAGCAAATCAACGGGCCTATTAACTATCCCCGAAGGCCTGTTAACTATCTTGAAAGGCCTGTTAATTATGCTTCAAGACATGATGTGGTCCAGATGGGTAAACCTACTTTTGTGTGCCAATTATTTTGTGGTGGAGGTGACTCTCAACATATACACATGGCATCCGGGCCCATAAACCACCAAGTCACAGGCAAGTATATAGCCAAGGATCCCTTCCCTTCCTTGTTGGCATTTCCAGCTCACTGACGTAGCTTTCCTTCGCTGGTAAACAGGCTGTATCATTTGGCTTGCAGGATAGAAGACACACAGCGGCTTCTCTCATATCGGACTGTCTCGTCACACGCTATAGGCAAGTAGGCAGTATCATGTCGCAAAGAAGAAAATAGACCCAGATATACCATTTCCCGTTTGCCGAAAGAAAATAAAAGCGTGCAAAAATGACATCCCATGCTCTGTGTAAGCCATGATTTAAATGACCCCCATGATGATGGTTCGGGGATTGGTCTTGATTATAACGACCTTCTCCCAAGCTGCCAGATTTCTCTTTCGCCCATGATTCGCAAAGCCAATCAATCCATAACATCATGAAAAGATTCCCATGTCTCCCAGTTTTGGTTCCCTCTCCTGGTCCTTACCCAAAGACAAAAGCTCCCGACATCGCTGCTGGTGACCGATCTTGCTTCAACTCAGAAGGAGCCGCGAACAGGGTATCGAGAAAGGTTCATCGTTGTGTTGGTGGTTGGGTAATTTAAGCAGTGGGGTTAGGGTTCATCTATAGTTGTGTTGTCAGCCCAGGGCCCTTGTATGGTGATGGTTTGCTGTTCGGGATGGTGGTACTGACCTTGCGCTTGCCACCAGTCAAGGTGATGTTGACGAAACGGCGAGTGTAAGTGAGTCTCTTCTTCGCACGGCCCTTGCTATTTCAGGTGTCAGAATGAATGTTCCGTCATCGTCAAAACCCACCCATGGGTTGAAGTCGGAAAAATTGCGGGGGTGGAACATACGGAGTCTTCTTCTTCTCCTGCTTCTCGACCTTAGGGGTCTGAGACTTGACCTTTCCTGTATCCCAGAACCGTCAGAACCCGTGTTTCGATCCATAGCTGTTCAGGCACTGCTGTCGACAAGAATTTCTCGAGCAAGGTTGTCGTCGCGGGAGGCGACAGCGGGGAGAGAGACATACCGGCACGAGCCAAACTGAGGAGAGAACAAGTCAGTAAATCAGTCCATCATCACAATACCTTAGACCAAGTCAAGATTATCGTACCTTCCGTGAACCTTTCCCATTTTGAATGATTTGTGATGGGTGTTAACTACTCAAAGTCGGGGTCTTGGATGGGAGCGGGAGGCGGACGCAGCAGAGGAAGGTTTCGCAACTCGATGCTGTCGATTTCTGTGTGGATTAGGCTGATTAGCTAAGGAATTGTGGGCGTGGCGACCTGCCCCGCAGGGCTTTGAAGTGACTGACCTCTGCTGTTGCGTGGCGCAGTCCACACAGGTGAATGGCGCTGTGGGTGTATTATGTGGCTGGAGAGCTGATCGAGCTTGTGGTCCGGGCGTGTGGCTTGATCCACCTGGAGGGGGAACTGCGCACGGATCAGCCATCACAGCTGCCACAGATGATGAACGGCTTGGCAGAAGCGACAAAAGCATCAGCTCGCCGAACGAAGGGGACATGGTCACGTGGCTCGATTCTCTCACATGGCCGCCAACGCTCGTAGTAAGGGTTGCCGCATATGTTGAATGCGATCACAACAGCTGCAAAGAAGAACAGGATGATCAGAGAGGAGATCACCCAAGCTTGCCAGCGATTGCTGGAAGTTGGGGGTGCTTCCAAGTCAGAGCCCATTGTGTTGTTGTGAGCGCTGGTGACAGAGCCCAGGCTCACGTGAGCCACACGTGACTACCCTACATCATTCTGCCCCTTCGGCTCGCCTTTATGGCCCCGTCTGCTCGCCCTGGACTACTACCCATCGAACACTTGCACACAATGCTTTCAACCAGCGAACGAGGGCCAATTTCACACTTGCACATGCTGTTCTCCGTCAGCATGTGAGCTTTGGCGGTTTGGCTGAACAGACCTTGTGTACGTACCTTCATCTCCTCCAGAGAACCCCGGGACTGGATGGCGTCAAAGCCCTGTGCTGTCAAGAAGTTGACCTCACCCATATCATCAAGCAATCATTATCTTGAGTTGAACACTTTCATTCTCTCGACAACCCACCACCACCGCAACTTATCTGCTAAGATATCTTCAGCCAAGATGGAGAAAGCCTCAATAGCCTGAGGTTAACTTGGCCTTACGTGATAATAGAACTCTTCTCAACCAATGACACTTCTATCTCAAGTCTCCTCCAGTTGTTCGTCCAACTTGGGACATTTTACCATCAGTCGAGGTGATGAGGGATTATCAGATCAGATTGATAAGAAGTCTTGGCCCTCGCCTCTGCAGCTGTGTTTCCACTTTTCCCCACTCCCCTGCCAACGTCAACGCTTGATCGTTCGACTCCATAGTCTTGGCCCAGGGTTGTGGTTGGTGCAACCAAGGTCACCCGCTTCCGCACTGGCATCCACCCCATTGGCAGGCAAGAGCTACAAAGACCCTTTACAAAGACCGCCCTCTTGTTTGATATCGTTCCCCTTTCCGTTTTGACCCTCTTCATCTTTTACTCTCCATTAAACCACAAAACCCCCCCTCCAGAATGAAACCCACCACCCTCCTCTCCACCTTCCTCCCCCTCACCTCGGCCTACTCCATCCCCAAGGACTCAACCGCCCCCAGCAGCAATGCCTTCAAGATCCCCACCGCCCGCGAATCCGCCATCCTCGCCCGCCGAATCCTAACCCTAACCCCGCTAGGCACCATCTCGACCATCTTCCCCTCCACCACCTCGTCTCGCAACCCCCCAGGAATTGAAGGCAAACCCCACGCCCTAATGGAATACATCTCCGCCTGTGACCCCCTCGCACCCTCCAACCCGACCCTCTTGTCCCTCAACATCTCCTCCACCTTCCGCAACGCAGCCAACGCCAACCTCTCCCTAGCCATAACCTGGACCCCCCCTCCCCTCCCCCCTCCCTCAAGGTCCTTCCTCTCCCATCTAAACCCCTTTTCTTCCGAACCCCCCGTTCAGCCCCAATCCTACAGCGCCGCCGCTCTCCCGCGGTACTCCCTGATGGGGTATCTCGAACCCATCCCCGGAGCGGACGACCCAAAGAGTGATGTGGGCAAGCTGGTTCAAACTTGCTACACCAACACGCATCCGGACGCGAAGTACTGGCTTCCGGGAAATAGGATTCACGAGAGCCACTTTGTGAGGTTGGTGGTGACGGAGATTTACTGGGTGGGCGGGTTTGGGGATAGGGCGTATATCGGGTGGATTGACGCCAAGGATTGGGAGAGTGTGACCGAGAAGGAGATTGAGGGGGCGAGGTTGCCTGGGGAGAAGCCGCTTGAAGGGGGGGATCTTTAGGGGTGGTCTTGATCTTCTGAGAAAGGGGTGGAGGGTTGAAGTTGGGATTGGGGATAGGTGTGGCGTAACTGTGGCGTTGACAGGTGCGTGATTTGATGGATGAGAGGAGTATGAGGCAGGCATGGATGAAGCATTGGACTATTATGAATTGGTTTGAGGGAGCATACGTATAGGTGTCAATCAGTGGTGGGTGTGTTTCAGGTTGTGGCAGCGGGTTGGCGAGTATTGTTCATTCAGGGCAACCAGAAATATACACATACCAAATCTGAACCCCTTTTCAACATATCCTTACACTGTATGTATGGTCTCGTATTTTAACAAAATGCTGAGTTGTCCGGTGGTTGCCATCAAGTCCAAACCTTCAAGCAAAACCGACCCAAAATCGGGTATCAACACCATCATGTTCAATCCTATAAAACCTAAATAATAGACTCATAGAAACTCCCTCCCCAAAACCCCGACTGATAATTAAACTCGATATGTTTTAAAGTGGTCAAGTGTTACCCTTCTTCTTCCTACACTCTTCTCCAAACCGTAGCATGTCATCAATAGTCATTAGCCCATCTTCAGTCCACTCTCAAAATCACCTTCCAACCCAACGCTCCCGCCTCCCTAATCGCGCATGCCAGACAGCCTCTTCTTCTCCGACTAACAACCACATTCCACCCCCTCTCTGCACACACCGCCCGAGCCAACATCTCCATGTCACTGCCGAATTGCCGTCTTCTACTCTCGCTGTGCATCTTCTTCGAGGCGCTCTCCAGCTTTCCCTCAAAAGTACCTCCAACTGGGGAGAGAGGGGAGTTCATGCTGTAGCTGTCTGACCGGCTGATAACCGGTGACAGAGGGATCTCGTGTTCTTGAGGTTGGGGCTGAAAGCCAGTGATGCAGTCTACCACGAGGAATTTTGCCGCAGGAGGGGAGGACGAAGCAGGTGTCTGGCTTGGTTTGTGAGGGGCGTTGGAGTAGTCACCCAGCAGAGCTTCAAGTGTAAAGTCTTTCTTGGAGAATAGCAGGTCCGAGAGATGGAGCGCAGTGTATGCGAAGTACTTGTGAAGGGGATGGCCTGCCGTATTGTTAGTTACCAACGATAGGAGTGACAGACAGAGAAACCTACCAAGAACAGTAGCAGCCTTACCACTACCATCACCATTCAAATCCACCTGCCGAATAGTCGGGCTGCTTGGCGACTTCATAATCTTGACGTGCTGCGACGGCACACACGGGTGTGCAGTCACAAAGTTGATATCCTTCGCCAGCGAGAAGGTGTGCTCGGTCACCTCCTCCGTGTCCATATCCGTAACCGTAAAGCTAATGGCCGCCGGATAGGTGTGAATCTCGGGAGGCCGGCTGCTGACTTCTGAAACCGGTGTTACTCCGTTGCTCTCACTAGGTGTGGTGTGCACCGAATCGGCCGGCGCGCAAAGCTGCAATGCCTCGAAGCCGATGTGAATCATAGGCGGGACCCTGTCCCGGTAAATGTTTTCAAATGGAATGATAAAGTCCGCCGGCAGAACAGAAGAAGGGTCGGCGTCACCGAGAACGTTGGATTCGTTTTCAATGGCGCGCTTGCCCCAGAGGCGAGCCTTCTTGTCGACATGGAGGGCGTCTTCGGCAGTCTCTTCGACTTCGATGTTGACCCAGCCGTCTCCAAGCCCAAGAGGTGTGACGTCACTCGAAATCCATCCCATGCATTCTACGGCACCCTTGCCTGCAGCGAGCACACGGCCGACGATGCAAGCAGTGCTCCAGAAGCTCTTGCCAGAGTAGACGAACCCAGCACAGAGGTTTGCCATGGGGCCCAGCCTCGCCATGGCTTCTGGGTCGTTCTCCAGCAGAGTTGCCATCAAGAAATGGCACAGTCCTTCCCCGGGCAACATCAGGCCGGACACATAGCTCTTGGAAAGCCAGCCAGAAGAGTGCAGTGCAGCCGAGATCTTTCTTCGTCTGGATGCCGCCCGACGAGACTTCGAATTGGGTCTAGGGACCGTAAAATACGACGAGCGTTGACTGTCGGCTCGGCTGCTCGGACTGGCGAGGGGTGTGGTCAACGGAGTGCCTTCCACCACGGCGCGGCAGTTGTCAGAGATTGTCGAGACATAGGACTTCTCATCCGGCCACCACAATCTCCTGGCAAAATGCTCCAGGCCCTTAAGCTGACGCTGCACGTGCTTTCCTCTGATGAGATAGGCCGGATCATGGTGATGATTTTTATGGCCATGTCCATGTCCATGCCCGTGTTCGCGAGACAGAGACATGCGTTTGGTCAACGAAGCCAACCACCCAGAAGAAGGCTTCTCATCTGATGACCTCTCCGCGCCCTCTGTCTTGACGACCTCGATGTTTTCCAACCAAGCTCTTGCAAGGATGAGCGACCACTTCACCGACTTGTTCGCATCTCTCTCGAACCGCAAAATCTCCGCCGGTCGAATACTCTCCACTCCCAACTCGTCTCCCTCCGTGATTGCATCCAACCTGATGAGCAACTCACAAGCCAGCAAGATCTGCATCAGCAACCAATACCTCTCCTCAAAGATGTCGCCCGACGAATCTCCCGTCCCGATCGAAGCCCCATCATCCACCTCATCCCCCAAATCATTCCCCCACAGCAGCTGTCCCAACCTGATTCTCCACTCCACGTGCGAGAAATCAATCCACATGTTCGGGGCCGCCAGCACCTTGACCAAGGCCGAAATCTGCACGGCAAGACTGTACGGATCCCGGTGGTCCAGCACCTTCGTCGGCGGGTGGAGAATCTGGAGGAACAACTCATTGTAAAGTTCGCTCGAAACCCTCTTCTCCCGCAAGTGCTTCTCCGTATACCTCGCCCCATTCTTGATCAGCTGCTCCATGATCAGACTCTCCTCAATATGTCTCAGCCCGTCCTTGGACGTCAGCATCTTTTGCCTCTGCTCAATCACCGCCGGGGTCCTCGTGCCAATGCTCTCAAACCCCCATTGCTCTTCCTGGAGCGCGTCTGCTACCGACAGCTCCAGTGCGGCTTGGTATCCCAGGCTGCCCTTTTCCAGCCCAAACATGCTCAGCATGTTCGGCCGCTCGCGGCAGCGGGGGTAAAAGTGAGCTCGGCGTTTCTGCTCCGAGGCCCGCTGGGCGGTGGACCGGTCGGCGTGGACATCGCGGGTGATGTGAGGCCAAGCCGTGACGCAGCCCCAGGCCTTGTCTTCGATCTGCGTGTGGTCTGTGAGATCCCTGATCTCGAGAGACTCGTCCCAGGGAAAGGCAACCGAGGGGTGAGGTGCGCCGGTGTAGTGGCCCTCGGAGCGGGCAAAGTACTGAGGTGCTCCCGAGAAGAGCTTCTCAACCTCCGAGTCTGTGAGGGTGGCCATGATGCGGGCGATCTTGAGGGTTGGCTTTGGGGGTGGAAACCGGGCCTGTTCGCTACCAGGCGGAGGTGGTGAGGGGAGCGGCTTGTTCGGGTTGATGGGGGAGCGCGGGGACAGCGGCGAGAGGGGTGAAAGTGGTGTGGACCGTACCGATGTCTCCAAGGGCTGGGTTGTGTATCACGAATTGGTCAGCCAGGAACACTCATTGCTTCCAAGTATGGTCATGAAGAAGGACAAATGTATCGTTAGAAGGAGTCTGGAAACTATCCAAAAGTCTTTGTTGAGGTGGTTGAGGTTGTCTGGAGTCCCGCAAGGTCCCCAGTCTGCCCTCGTACGATTGGCGCAGGAACCAGTCTCGGGAAGACGTCGAGGTCACGCGGTGTCCCTCAGGGGTGACGACACTTCGAGCTGTTCTCTACTAGCAACCCTAGGGGCACCCCTCCGTCGGTGGCTTGGCTTTCCAGATTCTCCAAGCTGCAGGAAAGAGGCCATTCGGGTTGTCACCTCTTCAGAACAACCTGGAACCAAGTGTTTGCACTGGACGCTCGGCGGGCAGCTAATTGACTGACTGCCTTGTTCCCTTTTTCCCTTTTTCCCATTGTTTTCTGCCATTTGGCCAGAGCAAACAAGACAATGGAAATGAGGGGTAAGAGACACACCCAACGGCTATCGATTACCCAACAGTGCAGGTTTCCCCAGACCGGCAATCAATAGGGAAAATCTGGGGAAGGGCGGAGGTCTGGGTCGGGGCTTGCTTACCTCTACCGCTGTGCCTCGTCTTGGGGGCCATCTTCCCCGCTGAGGGGTCAACTCTGATGGTGCTGGTGGCTGCTTTCCCACGAGTCGGCTTCGAAGGTCGTGCAACAGGTCTCTATTGAAGCCCCGCCGTTCTTTCCTGCCGTCTCTATTGTTGACGTCTGACGGCTTGGATGCTTCGGGTTCGGGGGTCGAGCTTGTTGTGCTGTTGATGCGACTTGCAGCGGATGGTGAGGGGCTGCTGACGTCGCTTTCCTCTGGCGTTGACGAGGTCTTGGCGTCGTCTTGCACTGGGGGATCACCCCTCTTGTGGCCCTTTGGCGATCTTCGCAATATCGAGAACGAAGGCATGGTGCGGAGTATGTAATATGTGCTCGCAGTGTCCTCGCAGTGTCCTCGCAGTGTCGTGCCCGCTTCTTGGGTCTGTACTCCCCGGTGTGGTCAGGTTTCATCCAATACTGCAGCCAACCCAACTCATGCCGGCCGTCGTGTCTGTGGTGCTTGTGCTTGTGGCGGCCAGACGGCTACTCGCAGGACACATTGGAAAGAGTTCATAAAAGAAAAATCCCGAGTCGATCACAGGAAAAGAGGGGACCCAGGATGACCAGGAGATCAAATATCAAGGCAGTAGAAACCTTGAGACGGTAGATAACAACCTGTTTGAGATGGGCCGAAAACGGACGTCACGGAGCGTGGGAGCGAGATACAAGAACCTGGGTCTAATGTCCGTCAGTTATATCATCAAGCCGCCCTTCCACGCGGAACCCAAGCGATGAGTTGGAAACAAGGAAGCCAATCGCGGACCCAAAGAGGCAGGTCTCTGCTTCGATTCGCAACTTGCTGCATTATTCTGCTATGGTTATTACGATGGGCGAACCCCTCCCCACTCTCCCCACGCTCCCAAAACACCCAAGATACATTGTACACGGTGTATTAGGATCAAGGATCGCGGGAGTTATGCGCATTGTTTGAGAGTTCGAAACCCTAGTACCAGCTTTTGATATTCCATGAATGACCTCAGGCGAGGTCTAGTGTGTTTCGTCGTGGCTGACTGAACCAGCCTGGAACTTACACGTGTCAACGGCGACATCTGATTTGCTGGTTTTGATCCGTAGCCCTTGGGTTCACCGTCGATTCTCTCTCGTTGAATGGGTGAGCAGGAATAGCATACGGGTGATTCCGTCGGTTTTTGTCCGAATTGAGCGGTGTCGTACTAACTTTGACACAACTGCTAAGATTGTTCGTCACCGCGGTGGAAGTTTTAACGTATTATCAGCCGCCTCGATGGGAGGGTAATCTCGGGGTATCATTTCAAGTTTTCAGTAAACGCCAATAACCTCAACTCCTGCTGCCATGTTTGAATGAACCGTATTCATGTTCAGAATGCCGGATGCAAACCAGCCAGCCCTCCTCGCCCGCTTCCTCATTGTTCAGCCGCTATTTGGCTTGTCATGAGCGACAGCCAGTATGAACTTGGGGTCCGTGATGATGACAAGTTCTTGAGTGGCGGTACGCAGCCTTTGCAGTCGAGCTGTATCCTACAGAAACATCAGCTTCAAGCGCAAAATCCCAACAGCATCTCAAAACCCACCTCCTTATTCAGGTCTTGCACGAACTGTTCTGTTACGTCGACATAATTCCAAACAAGGGTTGCAAGCTCGACCACGCCCTCCCTATCAGCAGTTGAAGGTTCGGCCGCTCCGTCGCTTGGTGCATCATTGGAAATCGATGGCTTTGAAGATTCGGAGCTCTCCTTGCGGAATAAATCCGTGTTTCCGCCTGTCTTCAACACATTGCCCGTCTCGCGGTCAAGGACTAGAATTGCCTTGACACCCGGTTTGCCCAGTAAACGGTCAAAGTTCTTGCTGATGTATTCAAAATCCGTCTATCCAGTCCTCTGTCAGATTGGTAAAAGGTCGCCATCTTGGATGCCATCAAGTGACTGGGCAACACAACATACCATTTCCGAGTGGTCTGCCATTGTTTTTATGACGGAGCAATGTCGTGACGGGGAGCGGTGAGACACAGAGTGTTTGTCTTGCGCGTAGAGTTATGTTTCATGAAATCAGATCAGGATAAAATGAGTGTATCCATGAAGCTGCCGAGCGCTCTTTCAGTTCCTTGTTTGCTTTGAATCTGGATACTGTGGACGTGAATCCGAAGCTTCTCCATATCATCAAATGCCAGCTCTCAGCGATCAACCCCAGGACGACCCACTGTGGTCTTGGCCCCACACACCCCCTGCCTGCGGAAAGAGTCTGTGCTCCAGCTGGGAGTGGGCCCCCCGCATTGGCGACAGCTTGTCAACGAAGGGCGGACCATTCTGCCCGGCTTCACCGCTAAAATTTCCAGTCGACCCTACCTTATCTCAACGTTCACATCGACATCGTCGCTGTTTGCGCCAGCCACTTGATATATTGAGAATTTTGAGGGTCGTCCATCACCTTAAGACGTCAAGATGGGTTCGAGTATGAGAAAGAAAAGGGAGAAGAAGAGGGACTTCAATGTACGATATCGCAAGTCGTTTCAGTCGCAGGAACACAAACTGATTGATGCATCCTAGAAAGCCAAGTTGAAAGTGGGAAGGGAAAAGGCGAAGGCGGCCAATTTCACAGACACCAGCTTCAAATCAAAATGTACATCTCTCCACGTTCCCAGATCTACCATACATGTGCTAATACACCGTAGCCATTCACATCAATCAAGGAGCCCTCACATCGGACGGCATAGACTCGGCCGAACAATTCAAGCAGAATCTATCAATGTGTATCTCGGCGAAGTCTGATACCCAACGGCGCGAAGCCGTCGCCTACATCACCAACCAAATATCATCAACCCCGCCAAACAATCCAGTTGGGACGTCAGGAGTCCTGAGCAAGCTGCTTCCGCTGTTATCAGATGCGTCAACGTCGGTACGCGCCCAGCTTCTGAAGCTGTTCCGAGCATTGCCGCCATCAGAGGTTGGGGCGCATGTGGAGAAGATTCTCATGTACATCCGCGGGGGCATGACCCATCTTTCACCAGATATTCGCACAGACACGCTCGCCGTCCTGGATTGGCTTCTCGATGTGGCAGGGGATGAAGTGGTTTCTTGTTCAGGAGGCTGGTTGAAAACAATCAACAGCTTCAGCTCCATGCTCGGGTGGAATCCCAGTGTTGGCTCAGCCATGACCAGCAAAGGCTGGACGACGGCATCCAAAGCCACTCTGGGTACTAAGAAGGGCCCTGAAGCTCAGGCGAGACAGATCCAAGCTCTCGCCAGGTTTCTCGAAGTCGGCTTCAAGCCTGAAGCTCCGATTCCTGTCCAATCTGCGGCTTACTGGGACAGCATATATCGCCTGCCAACCACACCAAATCCCTTTGCATATCTCAACCTTTTCGGGATACCGCGAGACGAGGAAAACGAAATGTATCTCGATCGTGGGTCGCGGCAGCGTGTTTTCGATGCCAGATGGAGAGCCACCATCGCGACTGGTATGGAGGGTGCCAGGAAGGAGGGGGGAACGGTTGGGAGGGCTGCAGCTGCGCTGGGGAGAGCCTTGAATGGCGGGTTTGATGGTCCTGAATCTGGATCTGAAAATTAGCATTTTGTGGAGTTTGTTCTTTGATGTTTTCGGATTCCTTTTGACTTACGGAGTACGGCATGGGATCTAAGCGGCGACCCTGCTTTTTTTTGTTTGCTTGGGCTTTCGCTGCTAAGTCACTTTATATCAGGGCTGTTGTTTCTTCTGGCATTTTCAACCAGATGCGTGTCTGCTTTCTCTCTACCTCACCTCCTGCCTCTTTATCGCTGCAGGCTGCGGCTGGCCGGTCCTCTGCTTTCCCGTGCCATAGAACAGGTTATGTGCCTTCCTTGGGGCATGGAGGGCAGCGGGTTCTGTTGACTGGGAACTGTACAGTTTGGATGAACAATGCAGTTAGTGGTGGGACAAGCATTCGTTTCGATGCCAAACAACCCGCGAGCCATGTTCTGAGGTGCTGCCTGTCGTTATGAACCAAAACATGCTTGCAGCAACATAGGAAACATACCTAGAGCTCCATCGCAACGCACAACTCCTGAGACCCCTGAGCCTATCCGTTCCCATCCCTTGATTGCATATCCTCAAGCCCAAACGAGGTGTGTATAACAAATCTGTTGGCCACCATAGAATACCACCAGATTCCGGCTCAGGCCACAATAAAGAAGATTAGAATCTCCAAATGCTGCCGTGACTTCGCACCATTGCCGCCGAGACTTGGAAGCGGACCCAGCCGGAGCAGGTACACATCACCAACGTCGCCGTCGTTGACCTTGTTCTATTGAGTTCCGGCCCCAAACAAAGAATCTTCAGCGCCAAACGCCGGTCTTCAACAACCAGCCCATCAAGCCCTAATCTGCCGCCGGCCCCGTCATAGGGTCCCGTAATAAAGGCACATAAAAAATCCGAACCTATCCGGAACGTGCCAGTTCCTTCTCAGAGAGCCACGGTCACTATAAGCGGGCCATCACTGCTGTTTGCCGGCATTTCTCAACTGTCTGGGTATAAATTCCTGGTCACGTTGCCCTCTCCCAGATCTTTCTTCCTTCACCACACAACCACCATCCTCCGACAGGCCTGTTTAAAGACAGAACTTCACACCACCACTTCTCCAGTATCTATCAGACAAGACTGTCAACCCACAGTAAGTACATCTCATTCTCACCACCACATCAGCTTTCCTCTCCTCACCTTGTCCTCTCCCTCCCTCTTCCTCACCACAGCCAGTCTGTCAGTCTTCTGTTGGCAATAACGCCGAGGACGTCATCACTCTAGAGACTGCACTGCCCTTTAACTCCCTCGACCAGTGTCAACGACTTTTAGTCACGCCAGGGTCAGTCATATTCTTGTCCTTGGGAAGTCCGGCAGGAACGACCTGTCGCTGCTGCCAGGGTTAGCACCCGTTTCCCGCACCTTCAAACCTATTCCACTTCAGCCAGGATGGTCGGTCCTTTCGTTCCTTCCTCAACACCACAGGGTAACCTCACCATACACGTCATATAAGAGGCGTTCCTTCCCCTCAAACCAGCCTCAAGCACCTTGATCGCCTGGATTCCTTGTTGCCTTTCCGTCCTTTCACCTTCCCACTGCCCACCTTCTTCCACGTAGGACTTGGGTTCTTCTCCCTTCTGCCCTCTGCCCTCTGCCCTACCTATTACCCTTTTCCCCTCCCGGCCTGACCGCCTCCCACTGTTGTCTGCCTTCCACCTTCAAATATTTCCCCGCTCTCTCCTCTCATTTCTCATCCCTATCTCTTCTTCTCCCACCCTCACTCTCTTCGAAGACCTTTCTTTGGTCCTCACCTTCAATGCCTGTCCTTCTCTAATTGTTTTGTCAGAACCTCGTCGGTCTACCACTCTCAATCGCCATCGCCATGTCTGATTGGGACAACAAGAACGACCAGACGACCTCCAACGAGGTTGTCAACTCCTTCGCCACGGGCGATCTTGCCGCCGCCGTCCCCGACCTTAATGGTGACGGTGAGACCAAGCCCAAGCCCAAGCCCAAGCCCGCAAAAAAGGTCTACAGCGAGGCCGGCTCTCAGTGGACCCAGCAGGTCCCTTACAACTACAACGAGTTTGGTGATGAGGGACACCACGACTGGGAGCACAATGCTGCCGTCTACGAGTTCGACGGCGAGATTGGTGATGTTGGCCCTGAGCATCCTGCTCTCGAGATCCAGCTTTTCGGCGAACCCGAGACTCGCAAGAAGCAGGGCGTCGACTTTTCCAAGTAAGGTTTTTCGACTCTTTCCTCACCTCTCACATCGCCAAGCTGACTTTCATGTAGCATTGCTGAACTCGAGGTCTACCAGGAGGGCCCTGCTCGCGTCGACCCCATTGCCAGCTTTGAGACCGCTGGTCTCCATCCTGCTATGCTGAACAACGTTAAGCTTGCTGGTTATGAGACCCCGACTCCCATTCAGCGTTACTGCCTGCCTGCCATCAAGATGGGCTATGACGTGGTCGCTGTCGCCCAGACAGGTAACTATCCTCTTACTCTGTGTTTCTGAAGACAGATTGACTGACCGTCTTGTACAGGTTCCGGCAAGACTGCCGCCTATCTGATTCCCATCCTGAATCAGTTGATGGGCAAGGCTAAGAAGTTGGCCGCTACGCGTCCCAATCCCGCCGCCTTCCGCGAGGGTGTTGACCAGGCTGTCCGCGCTGAGCCCCTCGTTGTCATCGTCTGCCCCAGCCGTGAGCTGGCTGTTCAAGTCTTCACCGAAGCCCGGAAGTTTTGCTACCGCACCATGCTTCGCCCTTGCGTCATTTACGGTGGCGGTCCTTCCAGTGAGCAGCGCGCCCAGCTCCAAAAGGGCTGCGACGTTCTCATTGCGTCTCCCGGTCGTCTGATCGACTTCATGGACGATACCAGACTCTTGACCCTCCGCCGTGTTCGTTACATGGTCCTTGACGAGGCTGATGAGATGCTTCACGATGACTGGAAGGGTGACTTCGACACGATCATGTCTGGTGGCGGTGAGTTACTTCCCATCCAACGAGTTGGAAACAAGATTATGTGTCTAACTCGTGAACAGAGATCGAGGAGGGGAATGTGAGATACATGTTGTTCTCGGCCACTTTCCCCAAGCAATTCCGGGACTTGGCCAAGAACCATCTGGCCGAGACTCATGTCCGTCTGCGCGTCGGTCGTGCCGGTAGCACCCACCGGAACATCAAGCAGGTGGTTTACGAGACGGCTCCTTTCAATAAGAAGTCGGCTCTCATCGATCTTTTGGAGTCTTTGCCTCCCACTCGCACCATCATTTTCGTCAACAGCAAGCGGACTGCTGACGAGTTGGATGACTTCCTCTACAATTTGAAGTTTCCCTGCACATCGATGCACGCCGACCGCACCCAAAAGGAGCGTGAGGCTGCATTGCGTGGTTTCCGCAGCGGGTTGGCTCCCATTCTGATCACCACTGGTGTCACTGCTCGTGGCATCGACGTGCGCAATGTAATGCACGTCATCAATTACGATCTCCCCTCGATGGACTACGGTGGCATTGAGGAGTACACTCATCGCATCGGTATGCTGACAACCGTGATCCTGAGCACCTTGCATGTTGCTAACCATTTCTAGGTCGCACTGGTCGAATCGGCCATCGTGGCATGGCCTCGTCTTTCTTCACCGAGCGCGATGAGCCCATTGCCTCCGTGCTTACCCGTACCCTTCTCGAGACCGGCCAGGAGATCCCGGATTTCTTGGCTGGCTACATCCCGGAGGATGTCGCCCATCTCCGATTCGAAGCTGATTCAGACTTCGATGAGACCGAAAACGCTGCGGACAACTTTGGCGGTGATGCCAACGATGGTGGTGATGGCGGTGACGACCCCTGGGGCGCCGGTGATGCTGCTCCGGTTGCCCAGCCGGCCGCCGAGAAGGATTCTGGTTGGTAAATCAGGGATGACTTCACATTTGTTCTTTTTTTTTTGATTGATTTTGCCTGGGGTAATAATCTTGGAGGTTTGTCGGATGGGTTCGGAAGTCTACCTGGAAATTTCTGCTCATATGACCGACAACTTGGGATGGGATGATACCTTAGCATAGCTGTTGCGATATGCTTAACCAACAAAGAGAACTAACTGTTTTCAGTGATCTGCCTGGTCTCTTGTGATGTGATCTGTGATTTGGTGATGAGAAGAAGCGTTTCTGGCCCTCCCACCGACAGGACTTCCACCAAGGCTGGTTGATGCCCCTCGGCATCATCAACATGGGAGGTAGATATTAACAACCTTGGTGGCATCTTGCACTTGATCAGTGTACTATTTTCATACTCAGGTTCATAGCATGGCAAGGTCGATTGCCAAGATGACATTTCCTGTATTTTCTGCTTCGACAAAGTTCTCCCGGTTTGGGTGGGCGGTAGTGAGCACAAAGTCTCATTCGAAATTGAAACTAGCATCATTTTATTTTTTTATTTTTTTATTTTTTTACATGTGAACAACAATTCACCTCTGCTCAGTGTTTTACTGGCGACCCTGAAGCCAACCTCCAAGCCCTCAACGGCAGGGCTTGCAGCTGCAAGACCTTGGGTCTGATGTACAGCACAAACGTGACGACGCCTATCGCGACGCACAAAATGTTGACAACATGGTACCCATCCCTCTGCATCTCGCATATCCCCCCTCCGGCCAGACACGTCTCCTTGTCCGCCTGAACAGCACACGAGAACGGCTCCTTGATCAGGGGCGCGCCCGCCAAGGCAATTTTCTCCCGCTGGGCAGCGGTCAAGTTGTCCAGGTTATTCGGCAGACAAGTGGCGCTGGTGAAGTAATCTACCAGCCTGAGGATGAAGAACCTGGGAAAGGTCCCGCCCAGGTTGCAGACCGTTGCCAGCAGTGTCATGTACGTGCCGCCAATGGTCGGGTCGGCAATCTTGGCGTGGAAGGCCGAGACGGCGACGAACATGATTGTGTTTGTGAATGTGGAAAAGACGTGTTGGAGGATGACCATGAGGAGGTAAGTCGGGGTGACGGTGCCAGAGGCGGGAAACACCGAGACGGTGAACTGTGCTACGAGGGCGGCGACGAGGCGGCCGGCGAAGCCCCAGGACCAGAGGCGCATGGGGGTGAACTGCTGGGACCACTTCCCTGCGTAGTATCCGAGGCCGATCTCAAAGGGGAAGTCGATGAGGACGGTGAGGGCCATGTTGCTTGTGCCGAACCCCTTGTCCAAGAGCTTGAGGGAGGTGACGGCGTCGTTGGCCTGGAAGCCGATTTTGGCAATCAGGTGGACGACAATGATGGTCTGAATGTTTTTCAGGTTGAGGATCTTCCACATGGAGGAGTAGACGTCGAATATGCCGTCTTCGTTCTTCGTGCGCTCTTCTCGTTTGAAGAGGAAGAGGCCTAGGGTGACGAGGATGTAGGACCAGCCCCAGAAGGTTAGGTAGCCTCCGAGAGACATGACTCCGTGGTCGAGGGGGATGGGGCGGATCCAGCGGTTGGCAAAGTCAGGCGAGTTGAAAGCCAGGAAGACGGTGTAGGACATGAACTGGCCGGCGGTCAGGCCGACGGTTTGGGCGGTGGAGGCGTAGGAGATGTTGGCTGGGGAAAGGAGGGTGAGGGCCCAGCCGTCGACGGCGATGTCTTGAGTCGCGCACATCAGGACGAGGAAGAACCACCATCCTGTAAAGCCCCAGACTGTTGGGCCGCCGGGTTTGCCTGTTGTTGCCATGAGGGCTTCGACTTCAGAGCCGAGCCAGAGCATGCCGATGCCTGAGAGGAGCTGGATGGGGAGGATCCATGACTTGCGGCGGCCGACCTTGGGGGACCAGACTGCGTCGACGACGGGGGACCAGAAGAGCTTGAGGGAATAGGGGTAAGAGGCCAAGCTGAAGATGCCGATTTCGCCGTAGGACATGTGGTTCTTGAGGAGGAACGGGACGGAGCCGGTGGCCAGGCCGAGGGGGATGCCCTGGAGGAAGTATAGGAGGACGAGGAGACCAAAGTTCCTCCTGTCTTGTCTCGGCAGATCAAAGAAGCCATGGCTGCTCCCGTCACGGTCTTTCGGCGACGGGTCGTTGTCGAGGGAGAAGGATTCGCGGGCCATGAGGCTGGCGGCGGCGGCTTCGGAGGAGGAGTCTTGGGATTGGGGGATGTTGCGACGCATCACTTCGGTTGTGTTCATCGTGGAGGAGGTCTTCGCCTTGCCTGACCCGGGGGAGCCGCTTCGAGTCGTCGGCGATTTGGCGCGCCGGGCTTTGGCACCCATATGTACGTGTAGTGTTTTTGTTTTCGGCGTGTGTATGGTATTCGGGGGGTCTGTTCGAGACTTGTGATATTCTTTGCGGATGGCGCAGAAAGTCGGGAAGCGACTGGTGTGGGTTATGTGTAGATTCAATGACAGGACGCGCGCAGAGCAGAAGGGCTCATGTGACAGCAAGATCGAAATCGAGGGATGAAAATACTGAGGTCTAGCCTCTTGTTTGGAAACGGTTAACGAGAGACGAAGTTGACAAATGAGGCACCGAGGTTGTCGTTGCTCCCAACGGCCTCTTTACAAAACTGGCCTCTTCTCAAGGCTCCCCTGGCGCTCCAACAAGGACCAAAATCAAGCCAAGCCACGTTACGCTGGGCCCGGGGGCTCGGAGCCTGGAGGCGACCCCCTGAAAGCGGTGGAGCTTAACTGTTTCCAGCAGCAGATCGCGGGGGAGCTAACTGTGGCTTGACTGCCAAGTTTCAAACCTCAGATTTTCTTCCAGAATCTTTTCCTCAAGCATCGCAATGAGGACCAAACCCACTCTCACCGACTTCCTGCTGCTCCCAAACGCCTGAGCAGCTGCAACTGCATTCCCCAAATGCCATGTTCAGGTTCAGTTGGCAGTTGAAGGGCGCTAGCCGGTTTGGTTTAGCGTCCGGCAGCCAAAAGTTCTTGAAGTTCTGGAAGCCCCATGGCGGGGCGGGCGTTGCCAAGCATTATTGGTGAGAGGGGTCATGAATGGCATGGTCTTGGACTCAATTGTCAACAGTGAGTTTTTTGACTGAACAAATATCTTCGAAAAATCAACAAGGATTCTCAATCATTGAATCTCGCTTTTACAGCAGCTCTAGTCCTCTTGTGACTGATATCATTTATATCGTCCTCTTCAGCTTCCACTTCCGATCAATATCTACGCGACCCCAACACGCGTCTCACTCATCCTCTCACTCATCCTCTCACTCATCCTCTCACTCATCCTCTCACTCATCCTCTCACTCATCCTCTCACTCATCCTCTCACTCATCCTCTCACTCACCATCACAATGTCCTCCCCACTACGAACCTCACCTCAACCTCCAACCCTCGACGATGAGATATCCGCCCTTCAATCCAAAAGTAAATCCTTCCCCCATTCTCCCGTTACCACGTCACTAACATCGCCCAGTCAAAACCCTCAAATCCGCCCTCGCCCTCCAAGCCTCCACCCTCCTCACCAGCCCCTCCACCCTCGCCCTCCTGTCATCCGACCCAAAACTCACCTCCCAATCCTCCCTCCACCAATCCCATCACCTCCAAACCCTCTACCGCACCTGCGCAACCCTTACCCTCTTTCGCGCTCAGGACCCCGACCCCAACGCCGTCGACGCTGGCTCCATCCTCGGTCTGAGGATAGAGGTTGTTTCGAGAGCTAAATTTCTCAGGCCGTACTATGTCCTTTTCAACCGCCCCTGGGCGTCTTCCTCATCCCTCCCAGGGCCGCAGAGGAAATGGCTTAGGGTGCACAGACATACTGTGCCAAGCTGTATCCCCCTGTCTGGGTTAGCAGCGAGATACCTCCCCTCGCCGGATAAGGATGATACAAGGAGGAAGCAAGATCTGGGAAAATTTGCCAGGGGAGTGAGGAGAGAGGTGGTGAGGTATCATGCCAGGTTGGGGACAGTGGCCGATTTGAGGAAGGCTGCTGGGTTAGGTAGGGGAGGGGATGGTGGGGATAAGAGTGGACTGGTGGATATCAGTCCGGCGGATGCGGAGGTTAGGCATGTGAGCGTTGAGTGGGGGGACGGGAGGACGGGGAGGTTGGTGATTGGGGATGATGGGGAGGTGGAAAAGTTGGTGGTGGTGGGGGAGAATGGGAGGGACAGGGAGGCGGGGAGGGAGTTGCTTGGGGGGTTGGGGCTGGCGGGGACGGTGAAGGCGGAGGAGGTTGTGAGGAGGTTGGCGGGGACGGGGGGTGCCTGAGGGAGCGTACAGAAGAACGTGGGAATGTGAGCAGATGGGCTTCAGACACATAATGCGCATATTGGTATGTGTTGTTTACATTCTAACTATAGGGCATGCCGAGAGCATCGCTAACGTTGATTTAGAGAGACGCTATGCTATACTTGCCGCCTCACCCCGCAAGCTCCTCACCAGCTACACAGGACACACCAAGCCTTCTGGTCGATACCATCGATCAACCCGACAAGCGGGAGCCACCAACCTACTTCTGAACCCTTTGACCAAAAACGGCCCCAAGGCTGGGCAATTTATCTCCTCCCCTCGATACGAACTTTTTGACCTGCGTCATACTAAGCGACTCGATGTCACCGCACTGCCCACCTTCCATGCCGCCTCTCGCTTGTCACTCTGTCGACCACGGCGGACCGAATGTTTGGATGAGAGTGACGCCAACGGGCGGGCTTGGATCACATTGGAGGGTTGCATTGCCGAATGGTCAATGTGCCGCTGGGCATACATTGGGCGGGTTGGACGGCGGGTAAAAACGGTGGGTGGGTGTCAAAAGGTGGCGGTTTGTCGTCCTGTCAGCCAAAGGCTGCCGAACGGCAGAATGGCAGAGAAAGGTGTGGTGCATGTTGCTGTCAGGGGCGGGCAAGACTCTGGGGCGGTTTGGAGGGGGGGGGGGGGGGAGTTTACTGGCATCTTCCATGCTCCATGTCTGCGACGAGAGGGCTGGGAGGTGAGGTTTGTCTCCGTCTGATTTTGTTTAGTGTAGCTGTTGATTGTGGCTTGGGTTTGTCGGGGGGGGGGGGGGGGGTTGAGGTTTCGTATAACGTGCATCTTGGGAGAAGAAAGAGATGAGGTTGGTATGTTTTGTGGAAACATTCTTTTCAGCATTATGTTGCGATGTGGACACAATACATACCTGGCATAGATGGGTCAAGGGGCATTGGGCAACAGCATCACCAATTAAACCAAAGTAAAATGTGTGCAAAATACTAAAAGTATTACTGTTCTCATGATTTTTTTTCCCCCTTCCCCTCTCAAGTAATCACAAGAAACTACCCATTCAGAAGGAAAAAACATGTCTCATATCTATGAAGTTTTGCTTTTGCTGAACTTTGCTTAGGTATAAGCCCAACGCTCGCTAGTACATGGCATGAAGAAAAAAAAAAGTGAATAATGTCGGTCCATCCATCATCAATCCAATCCCGTGGAAAATCCCAGTCATTAATCCATGAGCCTTTTCATATCAAAGCCGAAGAGGTGATTTTGCTTTGCTTAAAGGAGGGCAGCGGCGACGGCGATGACAGCCAGGGCTCCGCCTGCCTTCTGCATGGTTGCAGCTCCGGCGGTAACTGGCCTTCCGGTTGTGGTTGTGATAGGAGGCGGGATGATGGTTCCGATGGTGGTAGGAGGAGGAGGGGCCGGGGTGGTGACCGGGGGAGGAGGAGGAGGAGGAGGGGGAGGAGCTGGGGTTTCGGTGACCGGAGGAGGAGGCGGCGGGGGAGGGGCCGGGGTCTCGGTCACCGGAAGAGGCGGGGGCGGGGGAGGAGGGGGGGGAGGAGGGGCGTGTGTGGGCGTGGTAGCCGTGACTGTCGACGGGGGAGGTGGAGGAGGAGGGGGCACCACGGTCGTGGGAGGTGGAGGAGGGGGAGGAGCCTCGGTCTCCGTCACGGGGCAGATGGTTGTGCTGACAGGAATGGTAACAGTGGTGAGAACCGTCGAGTGAGCCGGGCAGTCGGGGTTGACTGGTGGGCAAGAGGTGATGGTGCGGGTGGTGGTCGCCCAGACGGTGCTGGTGGTCCACTTGCCCACGAACGGGTTGTCAACGGGGCCACCGAGAGAGAAGGAAGGTGCCTCGTCGTGATATTCATCTCCGTGGGCCGCCACATGGGCAGCCAGAGTGAGAAGGGTGGCGACTGTGGTCCTCATTGTGATGGTAGATACCTCTGTTGAAGAACGAGAGACAGGAACGAGTGAATGGTACCGTAGGCACTGAGGGTTAGGAACAGAAAAAGCAGAAAGGCAAAATCAGAAGAGGGGATGCCCTCTAAAATACTCGTGCGAGGGAACTCCTGGTGGGGTGCTAAGGGGCTGGGAGAATCAGCAACTGCAGCACGGCAGACAACAGCAAGCAACAAGGGGCGACGATCGGGACCGTCCCTCCATCACCAAGTCTGTCCAATTCGAAAGCGCAGATCTCTCAGGGGGAAGGGGGGGGGGGGGGGTAGCAGGTTTCGCACGAACTTGCTGTGTAGTGTGGTGTACATCATGTATGCCACCTGGTTTGGTGAGATAAACAAGGCCAACAAGGTACCCTTTGCATGTGGGAGCTTGGCGGCTAAAGAATATAAGGTGTGCCTGGCAATCAACTTCCATATTAAGCTGATCCATGGCCCCAACAGACAAGAAAAACCGACTGCATGACGGAGAGAGACATGCAGAGCAGCCTGTCCTGGAGGGGGAAAAGACAAAGAGGGAAGAACAGTACCCCTGAGTGGCGTCTTTCGGCCCTTGCGTCAGCTGGTGAGTAGAGGTGCCGGATGACGCGACGGACGAAGCCTCCCAAACGATGTGACCCCCGATCGTCCAGTCGACAATCGGTGCCTGCATTGGTTGCTCTGGGGCCAGCGTTGGTGGAGGGCACAGCAGTGTGCCCCTGCATTTGAACACAACCCAAGCTCACGGCGGATGGCTTGAGCTGAGCTTGTTTTCCAACTTCTTCCCTCCCGCCCCCCCTCGGAAGCAACTGCCCTGGCTTCCCATGGCTGCCGGAGGTTGACACAACGACATCGGCAGTGGTCTGAGAGCAGAGACATTGATATCAACACGGCCGACCGGGTTGACCACGACACAACGCCGTGGATTATGGTCTGCTTGAACCCGTCATCAGCCTCCCCAAAGTCTGGGGGAAGTGGTTCACCGCAGTCGGCAGTGCTGTCCAGTGGGAGTTGGACGGCATCCGGTCTAGGAGCGGGGAATCTGCCAGACAACCATGGATGCATCACATTCGTCAGCCAAGGGGAAACACACCACCACCACGCAGTGCAGAGCAGGCACATCAACACCCTAAGAGGAAGGAGGGGAAACGACGGCACAAGTGTGATCAGGCACAGTCGACTGTTCGTTGGCTGGCGACGGCGCGTGGTAAAACCCAGTTGTCCTTCTCTTCATAAGAGGCGTGGAGGCGAGCTTCTCCATGAATTCTTCATTCATCCAAATGGGAATGACGGGACCATAGGACGACATGGGCTCAACATTCGGTCGATCAAAGACCATCATCTGGGTAGCACAACCATGAGGGCCACCAGTTTCGACGACCAGGTGACACAGTGGAAGCCTAAGAACACCTCTGTGAAACAAGGGCTTCTGGCGTCTTTTCGGCGTATCCCTGAGGCCAGAGACCGGATACTGAACTGACGTGGCTGATAGAAGATAAAAGATTGGGATGAGAAGAAGTTGTCTGCCATGTCTCTTCGCTCGTGGCTGGCTTACTCACCAGGCACCACCCTGCTGAAGATCAATGTGGCTGAAGGCTCAGAAGGGCCAGCGGGGCGCTGTGGCTGATGCTATGCTCCGCGCCATTGACAGACAGCTTGATGCTGCGACAATTCGGCCACATATTGGTTTCCATGTTGGCAGATCTGTTAATTTGATGCGCCCGGGTTTCCGGTAACTTGGAATGTTCTGTTGCCCTTCTACACTATCATTAACTGTGCAGGGCGAGATTGTACGATTACACAGACCTGCTTATTCAGACACTCCCTACATCATCACCGCCGCTCATCACTTTGCGACTCGCCAAGTTGCGACACCAACATCTGGCAAAGTAAGCAAATACAGAAGCACAGCAAGAAGGCCTGCCCCGCGGGTTCAGGGACATGGCACCAGCCGTAGATGCCGCGACCCGGAAAAGGGTTTTGAGGGTCATCTTTGTTTCCCTGCTGTTAGACTTGGTAAGCATAACATTTTATTTTGTCTTGGGTCTTGGGGGTGCCTGGCACTTGTACGCATGCTGACAGCTCTTACTTGCCGGCAGCTCTCCTTTACCTTCATCCTGCCCCTGTTCCCGAAACTGCTCGAGTTCTACCGCAACGCTGAGGCACCGCTCGATGCTTCCGCCCCGGCATCCAAGACTCTGCTTTCCGGCGTGCTGGGCTACCTCAATGCGTACAAGGCCGCCTTTGCGCGTCCGATTGAGTCCCGATATGATATTGTGCTGCTGGGCGGGGCTCTGGGAAGCTTGTTCTCGTATGCAACCCGCTTTTTTTGCTGGCGTATGAGTTCTCCTGTGTTGACATTTTGTGTACCCTTTAGTCTTCTCCAAGCTTTTGCCTCCCCCATCATTGGTCACCTATCTGATCGCCATGGCCGGCGCACTGCTCTTCTCGCCAGCATGGCAGGCAACATTCTCTCTGTCCTTCTTTGGGTTGTTGCTGTCGACTTCCGAACCTTCCTCGCCTCCCGAGTTGTAGGCGGTCTCTCCGAAGGCAACATCCAGATCGCTACCGCCATTGCAACCGACATCTCCGATGACACCTCCCGCGGCTCCACCATGGCCCTCATCGGCGCATGCTTCTCCATTGCCTTCACCTTCGGTCCGGCCCTGGGTGCTTACCTCTCTACGGTTCCCACCGTGGCAGCCAACCCTTTCGCTACTGCTGCCTCGTTCTCGCTCTTCCTCATCGTTACCGAGACCGTCTACCTCTGGTTCTCTCTTCCCGAGACCCTCCCCAAGTTGACCGGCGCAGACAAGAAGAGCACCAAGTCGGAGGCCAAGCCGATTCGCAGAACCAACTCTCACTTTCTCCTCAACTTTATCCACTTCACTTTCTTGCTGTTCTTCTCCGGCATGGAATTCTCTCTGCCCTTCATGACGTATGATCTGTTTGGATATTCCTCGGCCAGTAATGGTCGCCTGCTTGGCTATGTTGGTCTTGTTGCCTCTCTCCTCCAGGGAGGTGTCACTCGCCGTCTTCCACCGCTCCTCTCGGTCAAGACTGGCGTGTTGGCTTGCCTTGCTGCCTTTGCCATGCTCGGTCGCATCACCACCGTCGGTGGTCTGTATCTGGCTGCGACATGCCTCGCTACCACTTCGGCTACTGTTGTTTCTGGCCTGAACGCCCTGAGCAGTTTCGAGGCGAGCGAGGATGAACGCGGCAGGAAGCTGGGTGTTATGAGAAGTTGGGGCCAGCTCGGAAGGGGCCTGGGGCCAATTCTGTTCACCAGTGTGTACTGGTGGGCCGGGAGAGGCACAGCCTACACCCTCGGTGCGACGGGCATTGCGGTGGTGAGTGCTCTGGTGTTGTTCGGGTTGAAGACGCCACCTGGGTCGGTGAAGGCCAAGACCATGACCTCGTCGAAGGTGGAGAAGAGTGAGCTTTAGTTGGCCGAGGGGAAGAGGTGAGGTTTCGTTGTATCTATTCTCACGTGAACATGTTGACCATAGACATCTAGTGTGACATTTGGACTGTACCTAAACATGAGGAAACAACAAGGGTTTTTTGCTCTCTCTCTCTCTCTCTCTCTCTTTGCGTGGCTCTCTTCAGGGCTTCCAGAACGACAGACGAGGTTCCAAGTTGACACCTGCGGAGAAAAGATTAGGTTCTGCCATACATGCCCCCCTATCCATTCTCAAACACCAGAATTTGGACCCCGGGAAGCCTCTCAGCGCCCCATTATCCATTGTATAGATAAGGTACACTCTCCACGCTCTTCCCCATCCCAACCAGCCAGCCGTGCCTTCCACCTGACCAAGTGTCGTCGTTTCCACCAGGTACCACGTTCCATAGACTCACCACGTTCCATAGACTCACCACGTTCCATAGACTCACCACGTTCCATAGATTCACCACGTTCCATAGACTCAACACGGTACTTAAACTCTAGCACCCGCCACCAAAGCAACAAAAAAGTGGTCTGCGTGCAGCCCTCGTGGAGAAATGGTAACTCGTCAGCCTCCTAAGCTGAAGACTGCGGGTACGTTAGGGGTTCGATCCCAGCTGGCACCACATTGAAAATTGACCAACAGTTGAGAAATAGGTTCGAGTCCCGTCGGCGGCGGTGTTCTTCATCATTTTTGACTCTCTCCTTGTGTTTCTCATACAATTCATTTTTGCCTGCGCCCAAGTCTTGAGCCCGTTGAAGAATCGGGTGCTCACGTGAGCTCCTTGTCGAAGCTTACATAATGCACTACCTTCCAAGACTGCTGGTTGGCCAAAGACGAACCACCACACCACACCACACTAGCTTCATCGGGAAGAGAGACCGAATGGACATTGACAACTGATACGATGCCTTTGTTGAGGCTCATGTTCACATCACATATTCCTTCGGCTCTTTCTTTACGGCCCATGATGACACAGCGGATCTTACGAGCTTCCCCATTCGACGCTTCAACCACGCCTTTGCTGACCCGCGAGATGGACTACAAGTGGTGATCCACTCATCACGGGACGATTTCGGTCCATACGCCGGGCAGACTCGGCCCCCACGCCGAAGCGTATCACCACAGCTCCCATCATCGGAATCACATCTTGATCCGATTGATGAGTGACTCTGGATCACTGCGGGGCGCTTACACTCCTGGACGGACAGCCACCGCATATCGCAAACCTAAGAAGCAACATTTTGGACGGGCAGGTTCAGCCATAAAGGTCAGTCGTAGTCCTTGGTTACACGTTAGAATCATAGAATACAACATCTTACACCTTCCAAGATGGCAGCTTGTTCCATATCACGAGTCATGAACCATCTTCTGATCCAACTCGTAGCCTTTGCTTGGCTTTCTGAGTCTCCTGCATGGGCGCTCAGCAATGCGTTTGATGTCCGAGAAGCTAGTATCGACAGTGTGCACAATGCCTTGTTCACCCAAATCACTACCTGCAGAGAGATTGTCTCGGCGTTCATCGCGCGTGTCGAGGAGTTCAACCCAACTGTCAATGCCATCATCTCGCTGAACCCAGAGGCGTTGTCGATCGCGAACAAGCTGGACGAGCGGATTGCCGCCGGCAACGTCACGGGCTCGCTTTTTTGCATCCCAGTGGTGCTCAAGGATAACTACGATGCTGTCGGGACGAACACAACGGGGGCTTGCCTTGACCTTGCCAACAGCAAGCCGTTGGAGGATGCCCCGACCGTCACAGCTCTGAGAAACGCCGGTGCTGTCATTCTCGGCAAGGCAAACCTCCACGAAATGGCTCTTGAGGGCTTGACCGTCTCGTCTCTGGGCGGCCAGACCGTCAACCCGTACGACAAGACTCGGACGCCAGGAGGAAGCAGTGGGGGGGCTGGAGCAGCGGTGGCCTCCAACTTCGCCATCTTTGGCACGGGGACTGACACGGTAAACTCGCTGAGAAGTCCTGCCAATGCGGGCTCGTTGTTTAGTTTTCGCCCTACGAGGGGCCTGATTTCTCGTGCCGGAGTGATCCCCGTCAGCTTCACACAGGACACTGTTGGCGCGATTGCTCGCAATCCGAAGGATCTGGCTGTTGCGCTGACTGTTATGGCAAGTGTGGGATTTGACCCCAATGATAACGTCACGGCCTTGGTCCCGCCAGAGGTGCGGGGCAGGGACTATTCAGCCTCGTTGTATGGTGGTAGTCTGACGGGTCGACGGTTCGGTTTTCTAGACGGCTTCTTGAACCATACCGCCTCTGCCGAGACGACTCCGGTCAACGATGTCATGGCTGACATGGTAGAAAAGCTGAAAGGAGCCGGTGCCACAGTTGTCAACATCACCGAATCCATCTACAACACTGTCACCCTTGCAGCCCTCGACGTCCAAATCTACGAGTTCAGGGAGGTCCTCGACGCCTACCTCGCCCGGCCACGACTCGGCGGCTCCCCTCGCCCAGGCAGCTTCGCCGAGCTGTACAACAGCGGCAGATTCCTCGTCATCCCGGGCCAGTCAGGCATGATTCGATCCTCCCTTGTCTCCTCCACCGCTAACACAGCCTATCTCGACTCCCTCCGCAAAATCCAGGACCTCACCCAAGCATTGGACGCAACCTTTGTCAGGAACAACCTCGACGCGTTGATCTATCCCCAGCAAAAAAACCTCGTCGTCAAGATTGGCTCCCCGTCTCAGAGCGGGAGGAATGGGATTCTGGCCGCGTTGACTGGGCGGCCGGTGGTTCACGTACCGGCGGGCTTCTCGCCTCCGTCGGAGGACGCGCCGATTGGTGTGCCGATAGGGATGGAGATACTGGGGAGGCCGTTTGCGGAGGGGTTGCTGTTGAATATCGCGAATCATATTGCTGAGAAGTTTCCTGTGAGGAGGATGCCGCCGTTTACTAATGGGACGGTGGAGGCGAGGGCGTATGAGAGTGTGCCGGTTATCAGGCCGGATACGGGGAATATTCCGGGGGTGTATCCTATTGGGGTGTTTTGAAGGGGCCTTGGAGCTTACTGCTTTTGGTATGAGCGGTGTAAGGTTAGTTTGTATGGAGAGTGTTGTGAGTTATCAATCAAAAATGTTGTTTACTTTGGAAAGTGATGCAGCGACCTGCTGCTGGACTGGTCAAGGTATAGGGCTGGGTGGTTGCCTGTGTGGGCGCCTCTGTGGGTGTGGAGTTGCTCCCGGGGATATAACTTAACGGTCGAGTTCGAGAACAACTCTCACGAGGGACGCCTCCAGGGTTGGGTGGCGTAGTGGTATGAGAGGACGCTCTGCATACTGCTACGACCAACGCACCCGGAGAGATTCCGCAGACTGACACCAGATCTGAGCGCACCCTACGGGTTCGACTCAAGACCGGGTCATGCTGCGGAACTCTTTTTTTTTCTTTTCTTTTCTTTTTTTTTCTCTTTTTTTTTCTCTTTTTTTTCTCTTTTTTTTCCTCTTTTCCCCCCCCCTTTTTTTTTCTTTTTTTATATCTTGCGATTATCTTTCGACTTTTCTTTTTCCTGAATATCGATTCTTTCTTATGAATGCAGAGACCCACGAGCCGAAGTAATTTACTTTTAACCATCATGATGGATTATTAACTAACAACGAACGATCAATAGAAAAATATCTTTCAACCCTTTGCGAAGCTGCCGCGTCTCTCTCCCTCTCTCCTTCTCTCTCTCGACTCTCAACTCTGAACGTCAACTGCTTCCCATCACCCCCATCCCACCCGATGCCCTCCAGCCTCGCCGGGTGCATTCTCGACGGATGCTGCTCAATACACTCCCCCGCCCTTCTTCTCCCAACTTGGCGGCCGTCTCTCGACATCCATCCCGACCACCTTTCTCTTCAGCCTTCCACCACCCTCCCTCTCCCAACTCCTCATCCAGTATCTCGGCCGACTAAAGCTCACGTTAAAGTTTCACTACCGAACATCACCAGACACACAATGGTTCCTCACATATCGGACGATGACACCAAGCCCTTCTTCTTCGGTTACTTCTGGCACGAAGTCAGGGGGCTACCTGGCCTACCAAGCACTACGGCCTTGGTCATGACTGTGTGAGGTCATTTTTGCTGTTGGTTATTACGATGTAGTGGATGGCGGAGACATGTCTTGCTCAGAAGATGCGATGAGTTGTGGTGATGCCTTCAGTCCCATGTTTTCACCCTAAAGCCTTGGCATTCAGGGGCTACTGGCCTCACGGATACAATACCTCGATGAACAGCTTCACATGTCATATGACACCGAAACCCGAAACTCAAAAACCTCATTGCGCTCGCGCTTAAATAGCCATACAAAACCCAGTCATCCAAGCAAATTCAGTCGCTTCCTCACTTCACCCCTAAAGAAACCTCGCCAACTTCCCCAGCGCTGTCTCCTGCTTCGGTACCACAACCACCTCCTCATACTCAACCTCCTCCTCCTCCCCCTCCGACTGCTCTCCAATCTCCTCCTCTTCTTCCTCCTTCTTCACCGCAAAGAAATCCCCCAGCGTTGGCGGAAGCATCTTTTGCTTCCCTTTACCCTCCCCAACCCCAACCCCCAAACTCCTCACAGTAACCGGGCTCGAACTCAGCAGATCATCCCCCGGCTTCACCGTCCCTGTATCATCATCATTCAGCAAATCCCTGGTTACCGTCCCCCTATCATCCTCACTCAACAAATCCTTCTGCTCCTCCACCGGCACAAGCAGCTCCTCCCGCGGCGTAATAACGACAGACTCTAACCCCGCAATCAACTCAGCCTCCGACGCCGAAGTAGGCTCCCCTTCCGTCTCGAACTGAGCAACGCTCTCCTGCTGCTGCTCATCACCATCATCGTCGTGCTGAAAGAAATGCACAATCTCCCCCCGGTGCACAATTCTCCCATCCGCCATCTTGAGAAAGTCGATATCCCGGAGATCAGACTGATGTTCATCATCCTCCACCACCAAACCCTCCCTATTGACAACCTCCTGCGTCCTCGGCATCTTGAGTTTATTCCCCATCCCCAAATCAATCAAACCATTCTCCCTCCCATTGACAATCCGTCCCAGCTCATCGGGGAAAAGCCAAGGAAACGTCACCAACGGCATCGACCTCGCCGTGATCCTCCTCGCATTGATCGTCCCATCTGCGAGCACCTGCGGCTGACGAGCTTGATACAGCGCAATCCGCATCTCCTCGCAGGTGACCTGGTACATGGCCGCCACAAACGGCCCCAGCTTCTCAAAGTGCCGATCTCCCGCCGCCTTGATGCACTCGGCCCGGAACTGCTCCCTGAGCGCGGCTGCCTCCCTGCCGACTTTCTCCTGAACCTTGTAGTCGGACCCGACTCGGGGCTTGAACATGACGAACCCGGTCCAGACTTCAAACTCGGTGCGGATCTCGAGCATGCCGAGGATTCTACGCATGGCAATGTCGTATTGCGTCTTGATCTTGCGTGCTGTTTTCAACACCTCCTGATCGAGCATATACCGAGACAAAATCCGTCTGTCAAACGGCGACTGGTAGTTCTTCGTCGAGTCAAAGTCTTGCGTGTGAACCATGTCATAGAGCTGTCCCAAAGCAGTCTTGGAGTGGTAACTGCCCTTCTGTCTCTCCATGAAGTGAGGCCACGATCTTGGATTTAGCTTCTTGCTCCATTCTGCCGGGACGCCCGTCTTGACATAGTCAACAGCGACCGAGTGCTACTATCAGTTAGCAGCTACCCAACATTCAACAGCCACAACCCACAACCCAAACATACCATCTCGGCAAGCTTCAAACACTTCTCACTCTTCGCCCCCTGCGGCTCCGCATCCGCCGTCGCAAGATGAGCGTGCGCAATAAAAGGCAACCTGTCGTTCTTCATGAACAACACAAAAAACGAGGCCAAACTCTCCATGATCGACTTCTTCGAGTCACTCGTCACAGGTGGCTGAGGCGTGTGGTCCATAGGAGGATGCGACCACTCCGTTGGCAACAGCTTCTCGTCCCAAATGACAAAAAAGTCATCCCCGTCCAGATCACCCCCTGAGCACATGCTCGGCACATCTCTGTCGCCCTCGAGGGGAAAAACCACCACATCACGAAGATGTCTCAACGCCGGAACGTCCACCGCTTCCACCACGCGAATATCCCCGGGGTGCAGAGAAGGGTTGCGACCAATAATACACAACCCAGCAATAGCCTTGTATCCGCTCGGATCATCTCGATCAGGAATCTGCAAAAAGATCTGAGGAAGTTGATCCCGCCGTATCCTCTGCCTCCCCTCCGTAGCCTTCGAATGCCCCCTCAGCGTCCCCGTCTCGTCCACACACCCCAGCACAAAAGCCCCCTTCTCCACCGCCAGCCTCGCCTTCTCCTTGAGCGTCTTCAAAGACCAAGCCCGCCACAGCTGCAAAACAGTCTTGACAAACGGCTCGTTCGAGTCCATAAACCCGCTCTTGATCATGCGCGCGATGCTAACCGTGGTCATGTTCTCGTCCACAAACGACGTGAGCATGTCCACCGCGCTCTTCCCGTCCGTCATGGCCCTGTCAAATCTGGATAGCTGCTCGCGCATCAGATCAACGAACACGTGGTCCGGGACACCCAACGACGACAGGATCGTGATGGTCTGCCGGTTGAGCGTGGCGCATGAAAAGCTGGAACACCGGACGACCTCCAGACCATTGTACGCAGCCGAGAACTTCTCCTGAGACGGCCGGATGTGAACCTCCGTTCCCTTGGCGTGCTTCCAACCAACCAGGACTCCTTTGCAGCCGCCCATGCGGAATTGGTACGCTGACGGTGGTGGATATACCTGCCAGTCTTCGGCCACCAGCCTGGAGAGCAGAGGAGAAATCCTCCCCACACCATCAGTAAAGCAGTGCTTGCCGTCCGCGGTGTTGATGTCTTCGATCTCGACGATGGGCGGGAATGTTCCACCCCTCAACACACGCGTGGTCGAGAAACACTGCCCTAGCCGGGCCGCATACTTTGCAACCACCTTGATATGTTCAAAGTTGCCCATCCACCTGCGAATGTCATCACAACTGGGCACCATGTCCCCCGCATGACTATCAGGCTGACAAAACATGAAAGCTCCATTTTCTCTGACTTGGGAGTTCCCAAACGCCAGAAACTTCCAGTGCCACTTCCCCATGCGAATGCCCCAAAAGAGGACTCGATAAACGCGGGTATAGAGGTCATCATCCCTGTCAGCATCGCTCCCTCTCACCCTCCCCTCCAGCTGCTCATCCGTGAACTGAATGCGCATAAAGTAATTCTGAAAAGTCCAGTAATGCCGAATGACTCGGTTGGTCGTCTCGACGGTGGGAGTGCTGAATATGATCTTGGTCGGCGTAACCATAACCTTCCGCACCAGAGCGCAGTAATGAGGCAGCCGGAGTGTGGTCGGGTAGTAAGTCAACGCCCCTACATCGGTAAGCAGACTCACCGGATCCCAGATCTTCCTTCCCATATCCGCGGCATACTCCAGCACCAAACGTGCTCGCTGAGGGTCTTGACCCTTAGGGATCTGCAAGCTCGAGCAGCTTCTCCAGAAACTCACGCCCAATGCTGTATTCGCACAGGATGCCCTGGGAGATGCAAACCTCCAGCTGATACCTGACGTCGAACGGGAGAAAGATGGTCGTGTCTGCCCAAGAGCAGCCAAATCTGCCGCCCATGAGTTTGCCTGAACAGTGGAAGAAACCACTTCGGACTCTCTGAGAATAGACCAAAGCTCAGGCTCTCGGTTTGGTGTCTGCGTAAAAGTGGCGTCAGTCGTCTTGATGTTCCAGTCTCGGAGGTCATGTTCAATCTTGCTCCACGTGGCGAGGTTGGCATAGCTCAGCTCGATCCAATACGTCGTCCATCGGCCAAAGTCGATTGTATTGGAATACTCGTCAAGAGACACCGGCTTTCGATCGCTGCTCTTGTCATTCCTGTCGGTGACATTGACAGCCCGGCACCACATCTCATTCTGCTCCCACGTCGTTCGATCTGCCCAAGCAGAACCATCCTCGTTCGTCCTTCTCTTCCAGAAGAGCGGGGAGTCCACCAGGGTCAGAACCAAGACGGTGCGCTCTGGGGCGGCATCCACCCGATAAATATGCTTGATAACTCCAAACTTGATCTCAATCCGGAATGCTTCCCAGTCCTGCTCAATCTTCAGCGGAAAGCTGATAACGAGCTTCTTCCGCTTAAAGTCCACCTTGAGACTGAGACTGGCAGCACGAGGGATCTCCTTCTTCCCCATGTAAACCGTAGGCTCGGTCAAAAGCCCGAAAACAAACTTGTCAAGACCCAGCTCCATCTTTTCCGCGCACACGTTTCCCAGCGGTGACTTGATTGTATTCGATTCGTATCGGTACTGAGAGGCAAAATGGGCGTCTATAGTGTGAGGGATGCCTTTGACCAAGATCTTGCACCTCCCATTATCTATAAAGCTGGTGTCTCTCGGGGGAGGCTCGAATCGTACTTTGCCCGCCCTGGGTCTCCTCACGCTCTCGTCCAGCTCCACGTAGATAACGTTGCCGTAACCACTAAAGTACTGCTTCAAATCCCAAGGAGAAGTGCCCTCGGGGACATCGCTAAGTATGACGAGGACATTCTTTCGCTGACCCCATTCAAGGGGAATAATGGCTGGCTGCCGGGGGCCCATCACGGTTGATGCACGCTGCTTGTTTTGGTTGTACTGTGGACGAGACGGACGGAGGGCACTACGAGATTGTCCACCGGACTGGTCGCTGCTACATCGACTCCAAGCACCGGCAGCCCCAGGTCGCTGTTGGCGAAACGGGCGCTGGATAGGCCCTCTGGTGTGGCGAATCATCGGGGGAACATCCTCCGAGGTAGAAGATCGTGAACTCCTGTCAAGCTCGACATCCGCACCCTTTCCGGACTGACTTGAGGAGGGGCCCACGGATGGTGGTCGCCCTTCAGCGATGAACGAGGGGAGCATTGTAGGAGTTGGATAATAGGGCGTGCCGGGGGGGGGGGGTTGGAGAGAGGATGAGGGCTTTAGTGATGATCGGGTGAAAAGATTGAAGTAAAAAATAAGGTGAGAGGGAAGACCATTTGAGGTAGTAATCACGCGCTTGCCAACTTTGAGATTGGATCGTTGTTTCCAGGTCGATGGGAAGGAGCGTATCTGTAAACTACTAGGTAGGTCTTGCAAGGCAGTCACCACCCGTTTGCCTGCGCAGTTTGTGTCGCATAATCTGCAAGTAACCGCTCCCTCTCTCTCTCTCTCTCTCGCTCTCTCTCTCTCTCTCTCGCTCTCTCTCTCTCTCTCTCGCTCTCTCTCTCTCTCTCTCTCTCTCTCTTAGCCCTCCAGGCAGTATCAATCTGAATTCCATTGCGATAACATACCTAAATTCACAAAAGCCACCCGAATCCTTCCTGATATCCCTTCTCTCCAAATTCCCATCTTCGTCTTCTGACACCTAACAGTGTCCAAGAGCACTCTTCCAGCTCTTGATCCAACGACAGCAACACGGCTGTAAACAAGACCAAAATAAAAACACCCAGTTCCAATATAAAACAAAAAGCAAGAACAAACAAACTTTTGGGATCTGCCCACCCAATGCTGAAAGCCCCCATTGACGACTGTGCATCCAACACCTCACCAGCCCGCTTCCATTGCCCCCTATGCTCTTCCACCGAGCCACCAATGTATGCAATGCAGACCCTTCTCCTCTTCGCTATCACCTCCAATGCTCCGTGATCAATGGTCGCCCAATGCCGTATAAAAATGCTCAGAAACATGTTCGTACTCCGTATCTCGTATTCCGTCGATGCATTTTTTCTAGCTTTGCCTGTCAAAGATTTTGCCCGGATTCATAATCCAATTTGGGTCCAACGCCATCTTGATAGCCCTCTGTTGGCAAGTCAGCTTACACATCCATTGAAGCATTACAAAATTAAAAAAAATTAAAAAAAAATAATAAAAAAATAAAAATAGAAAAAAATAGAAAAAAAACTCACCATCACCCCCAATGTATCCTCTCCCACCTCCCAAAGCAAGCTCTCCTTCTTGCCCCACCCGATCGAATGCTCTCCCGTACACGTTCCCTCCATCTCCAACGCCCTCTTCACCATATTCTTCACACACGCCTCCACCTTCTTCACCTCAGCCTTGTCCCGCCGATTATAAATAATGCTCTCGTGGAAATTCCCATCCCCAATGTGGCCCAATATACTCGCAAACAATCCCAACTCATCCATCTCCTTCTTGCTCACCTCAATGATATCCGCCAACCGGCTAAATGGCACCGCCACATCCGTGCTCCAGACCTCCTCCCCTTCCTTTCTGAGAGCCAACATACTCCACAGACTCTCCTTCCTCGCTGACCAAAGCAACTTCTGCTCTCTGGCATCCTTCGCAAACTCAAAATTGCTCCCCTTATTCGCCTTTGTGATCTTCTGTACCAGACCAATATTCTCCCTCACTCCTGCCTTTGTCCCAGAAAACTTGAAAAACAGCGTCGGCATCTCCTTCCACACCCTCGGCGCGGTGGCACCACCCATATTGACCACCTTCATCTGCACCTCGTCCATGATCTCCATTGCCGCGACAGGAATGCCCGTTTGCATGACCTCTGCCGCCGCGGAAGCAGCGTCACGAATGGAAGGGAAAGTCACGACCGCTACCGAAAACTCCTCCGGGATGACAGCGAGCTTAAGCGTGGCTTCTGTGACAAGACCCAATGTGCCCTCCGAGCCAACAAACAGACCGTTGAGGTTGTACCCAGCAGAAGACTTGCGCGGACGACGCCGCGTTTTGATCACTGTTCCGTCTGCAAGAACAACAGTCAAGTTGATGACCCAGTCTTTCATCGTGCCGTACTTCACCGCATTGGTGCCTGAGCAGTTGGTGCCAATCATGCCGCCTATTTTGGCGCTTGGCCCTAGATGGCTGTCAATATCTTTCACATTCAGAAGCAGTGTTGTTTTTGAAGGGGGGGGGGAAATAACTCACCAGGATCAATAGGAAAGAAGAGCCCGCTCTCCATCTTGGCCAGCTGCTCGTTCAAATCCTGCCAGCCAATGCTCGGCTGCACCACCACGTCCATGTCGTTCTTGTTGAACTGGACGATCCTGTCCATGTAGGCAAAGTCGACGCTGATGCCCCCGAAAGGTGCCGAGAAGTTGCCCTCGAGACTGGAACCGCCAGAATACGGAATGATTGGGACACGATACTTGTGACAAATGCGAGCGATAGTGGATACCTGCTCTGTAGAGCGCGGGTAGGCCACCGCGACTGGGAGCCCCTCAGGGTTGGAAGTCGACCATTCCGAGTACCCGTGAGCGTGGAGGTCGTCGGGGTCAGTGGATATGATGTCTTCCGCGCCGCCGATTTCTTGTCGGATTTCTCTTAGGGCCTTATCCTTGGTCAGACGCATGACGTGTGAGCTGGATGATTATCAAGAACGTACCTGCTCCATCTCATGCATGCTCGCATACCTAGGATAGGCGTACAAGCTATCAAACAGCATGGTCTTGGGAAGACTCCCATGCCGGAACTCAGACATGCCCCATCCAAACAACCCGGCAGTCGCCGCAACGGCCATGACACCCGAGTACGACCATACTGAAGCTTGCCTAGGCTGTTCACTGCTGCCGGAGGTGGAAGTGCGACGAATGGCACTTGTGCTGAAGCGTTGTTTGCCTGTGCTGTTCAAGCAAGTGAGAGAGCGGCCAAAGGGCTTGGCTGCCCTCGCAAGACGGGTTGCCGACATGCAGATGTCGCCTTTGAGATTTCGAGGCCCCGTTGTGACCCCTATAGACGCAAAGTGGGTGCCTTTCCGCCAGATTCGCTTCTTTTGGGACGCTTTTTATGTCCGGGCCGAATAGGTGCCCTTTGAAAAGAGCCTCAACCGAGAGGGTTACCCTTTTGGTGATCACCGAAGGGGCGGGGGTTGGGTTGCCTGAGTGTGCCAATCAGCCTCAATTCCTTACTGCACACAAAAGAAACAGAGAAGTAGGTTTGACAATACCTACCGCTTCCCTGATGCGGGTGGTGATGAGGTGACTCTTGAGTGTAGCGACGACTAAAGCCGCATACCATCTGCCACCTTGACAGCAAACTCCACAATGGAGCCTCGTAACGAATCTCGGTGAGGGCGTGATAGGCCAGAGGTGACCGAGGCAAAAAAAAAAAGAAAAAGGGGGAGACTGGAAGGTTATGACGACAAGGTACAGAAGAAGGTGGCATATGACGAGACCATAGTGGGCGTCTCTCGAACCAGTGACCTCGGCGAGAAAGATGCGGTGGGTGATATTGGAAAGCAAAGCTGTTGGGTAGGTATCGCCTCTTAATAAGAACGAGTTGCCGCGTCCAGATTTGGATTAAGATGCAGGATCAGGGTGGAGTAACACTTCTCTCCAATCAAGACGAACATGTTTGAGCTAGACCAGGTCCAGTAAAGAAGGGGGCTTGTAGTGTGGAAGGGTGGTGGTGGACACTTGACGGTCACTTGGATGGGAGGTATGTAAGAGGTACTACTACTGAGTACGCCTCCCGGTATGTGTGCACATACATGCCAAAAGACCAAAAGGACGGCAGCGGATCGAGTCACCACAGGCGGTGGGCAGGACCGGTGAGATGGGCGGGGACAACCGCAGGAGCCGGTCCGGCATGGTCAGATACACGGGGCTTTCAGAGGGAAACAGCCGTAGGTGCATGGGGGGAGTGCAAAGTGCAAATTACCGAAGGAATATGATGGAGAAGAGAGGTAAGCCAAGGTGCCAGTGGTGGGTGGTGGAAGATGGTTGGATCAAGAGGCTCTCGGACCTGGCACCCAGCTGACTCTCATGCTGGGCAACACTGAACAGGCGGACCGAGTCTGGGCTCGCTCCTGGTTGATCCCATCCAAAAGCAAAACGCAACAGCCCGGAGAGCTTCTGCTGTTGTGGTAGCACACATCCCGCTGACAGCTCCCACCCTCGTTTCCTTACTCCGTCACCCGTCCGTGGGGCGGTCGGCCGGCGCGCGCGCGTGTGTGTGTGTGTGTGTGTGGTGCACGGCAGTGGGGTGGACTTCGAGGTGAGGTGGAGGGAAGAATGGGCACGAGGGAGAAACAGAGATGTGAGAGAAAAATTCTTGCGTTGCATCACTTCGAGATTGTTGTCAGCGGTGGTATTGGTGCTAGTAACGATACCGGAAGAAATACACCGTATCGTAACAGCCGCACCAATTGCAACCAGTTGACTTGCTGGTTTCCGCATGTTCTTGTTCAGTGTTCAGAAATAGCCCTCTCAGGAATGATCAATGCTGTCGACAACTTGTCGATACAGATAAATCCAGGACCCAAGAATAGACGAGGCGAGTGAAGTGGCCGGTAATGTTACGGTACGGCTTCTTAAAATGCATTTTCCGAGAACGGCAAGTGGGGAGGAGTGGTCTAACATCCAACGCCCCGCACCTCTCTGGCTGCTTCTTCAACAACAAACTACCACTGGGGGAAGCGGGATGCCGGCGACAGAAAAGATGGCGATGTGACAAGCAATATGTAGAGGGTAGAGGTTGCTGCATGTGGCCCGAGCAAGTCACACCGTGCATCAGATGGACTTCACCGTGCGAAGAAATCTGATACATGTCGTCAGGGTCAATGCCAATCCGATATATTGCAACCCTCCTGAGAAGGTGGTGGTCGTGGATTGGGGGCATGATTGTTCTCCAATCTCCAATTGTCGCGGGATCCGCCTCCCATGATATCTTGACCTATGCTGGATTTGGTCACTTGGTTTCTCCGGTTCGGGCCTGGGCGTCGGAAGCAGACGTTGAGAATCTGGACATGGTCGATATCCTCTGCGCGCTGGTGTTCAGTGATTGGTCGGTGTATCTGATAGAGATTTGAAAGATGCCGCGAAAGGCGACAGCCCTCCCGATCATCGAGGATAGAGATCAAGGCCAGGCAAAGCACCCATGACCCGTCACACAGTGCAATTGTTTGCGCCCTGTTCGCGATTACAGCTACACCCGGGCGGGCTATAAACGCAGCTAGGTAGCGGATAGAGCACGGCATATCGGGATTCATCTTCCTCAAGCTCTGGTTCTGTGAAATATTGGGCCGTCAGCATGAACATAAATTGCCGAGAGGGTCAGGAGGACAACCCTGACGTTGAATCGGGTGTCTTGGTCTGAATGGCGCACACACAACGCCCGTAACACCCTCCATCATCTCTGCCAGACCGCCAGCGCCCAGTGGCTCCGTGGGCGTGGGGAGTCCCCAGTTGGGAGGTGTGTCGACGGCACGGGAGAGCTTGTCGGGATGGAGTGGTACCTCCAGTACAGATACGGTAATCGGAAAGGTGTACTGAGGTATCCAGGTCAGTCATCGACCCTACCCAGCTGGACTCTACTCACCTCCTGGTCTGCACGAGCGGCTCGATGGCCAGCTCTAAATTCCGGGTAGCTGCAGTGGAACACTTGAGGAAGATCTGTCGAAGGTCTGTTGGGAGAAAAGGGCCCAATCTCGGCCTTCTGTCGTCCGATGCCAAGCCGCGCTGCTGGGTCCTTTCTTGCCCCGCTATGAACGTTGTATTTAATACCGGCCGCACCTTGATGGCCAGGGGGGTGCCTTAATTGTCATCCAAATTTTGGAGACTGGGCCGGAAGCTCATCAGATCTCACATCATGGTGAGGCCATTGTCTGGTATTTTCACTGTTGAATCTTACCACGAAGCGTCGCAACCCTCGGGTTTCCCACCAAGCAAGCCAACACATTTAGAGCAGGTGAATTTTTGCTCTCCCGAATCTTGATAGAACCCCAACTCCAGAGAGGGGCTGGTCGACATGCATGTAACCTGGCCCAAACCAACCGATCGTCTTTTTCACATCAATGAAACCCGCGGGAGCCGTCAACATCAGAGACATTTTCACATGTTGCACAAGACGGCTATAGGCAAGTCTCGTGCCCTCGTATTGCCTGCCGGGATTACTTTCAGAAGCCTCCTCCATGCTCGTTTCTCCTGCCGCTGATGGTGTGTTGCCATATGACGCATCTCAGCCTGAACAGACGACACGCAAGACATTGAAAGTGAATGGCAGGCCTGGGTTACTGCCATCCCGTCCTTTATCAACCACCCCCACGCCCGGCCGAAATCCCCTCATCAAGTTTTTGTCAACCCTCCTGTGGCCCTCAGCTCGACTACCAGCCATCTCGGCGCTGCAAGGCACAGAAGCTTGCATCTGGGAGGATTCTCTCGTTTTACAACCTGGCTTGGCCCTGCAACGTGACGGTGAGTGTCCCCCTCCTCTTGACAGAGTACAGTGTACGTACGCGGCTTCCTCGTGGAAGCCAATGAATGGGAGATGTGCACCGGTCCACGTGCCCACCGCTCGCATCGATCCAGCAAAGCTCGACACGAGACGCTCAAGAAGAGAGTACAGAGGGTGGGGTTCGGGGTTCACCACATGTGTGGGCATTTACTATCAACGATCCCGGGTGCTGCGTCCAAAATCTCCCAGCCTCAAGCCGCGGAGAATCCGTCCCGACTGCAAAATCAAGGTCAGGAATGAGAAAGGAAACGAGCGGCGAAGCGGTTTCCGGCAAGCCCTGACCGACTATTCTGACTTTCGAGATGTGGTGGCGTCTGATCTTGTGAACATAATTGGTCCTCAGCTCCTCAACGAAGCGCTGTCAAGAGCTGCGGTGGAACGTGGTGGCAGGTTAGGGTGAGGCGAGAATCGAAGACAAGATGTTGACCGTCAACCCCTGAATAGGTAGCTGTGAGTGCGAAGTTCGCCGCCCCGGGCCGCCAATGACACAGAACATAACAGTCCAACTCCACCACATTCTTGAGCCTTTCGATGTCACGCTGCCCGGTGGACAGGCCTGGAAAAGAGGAATGATTCCCTGGTACTTTCTGTCATTTTTGTGGACTAGACGAAGAAATAATCCCAACGGAGGCAAACGAAGGACCCGGATCCTAGCCATCAGCCAGTCTTCGACCTCAACCAAGGAGAAGGGTCCCACGGAAGCCTCAACATGCAGGTGAAAATCTCACCTTGTCTCGTGACCTCGGTCTGATGTGCAGGCATCGATGCTAAGCCCAAGATCGTCCGCATCTACACCCGGCTCGACGTTTTGTACGTGTGGGGGAGAGGGGGCCGTCCATGCAGCAGCAACATAACGCAGGCTTAGCCTCCTGTACGGCCTTGAGTCGTTGGCTCGGCCTTTGCCCCTGGATGACACCGCCTGCTTGTTTGCTTTGCTCCCGGGGGGTAAGCTGTGGTTTTCTAGCTGCTTGATCATGTCTCTTATTGCTTACTCACGCACAAACAAAATCGACCGGTATAACGCTCGTCGAATCAGCAGGGCCGGTCTTACCAAATTGTAATACTTGAGATCCGCACTAACAGGTTGCTCAACATATCTGGGGACTTGCGCAGGCGGGCCTGTCAAAAGGCCCCAGGCTCTTTCCCCGCAAAATTGATGATGCTTTTTGCTGTATCACGGGGTACATCCTACGCATATCTTGGGGTACACTAGATGGGCAGTCGGTAACCTTTTGAAGCATGCAGACACATACATGACTTGTGGTAAACTTGGTAAAAAGACGGAAGGCTGTTTCGATTAACAGCGATTTTCAACATCCGAGGGGAATACCCCGAGAAATACACCGCATTCTCGTGGCTTCCGAGCCGGTGAGAAACGATGATCGGTAGAGGCTGAAAAGGGGGTGCTAAAGTGTTACACACTGGACCGTCCAGCACGTCTCGATTCCCACTCTTAAATTTTATTTTTTTTGAACTCTCTGGCCATATGTCTTTAGAATCTTTTGCCTTGTTCAAGTCCAGCAGCCTTTGACGACGTCCAAGTCCAAAACCCAGCAAGCAGGGTACTCACATACTCTCGGGTATCACCGGCCCTCCTCTTGCCTTTTCGCACCACCCCTCCCATCCTTCCAACTCCTATCTGCCGCCTCGATCGAACCCCCAGGCATCACATCTCATATTTTGAGCATCACGATATCAAAAGTCACATCGGAGAATCCACAACCCCAACGGTCTCAACAAACTCGGCAACTTTTCCACCAGCTTTTAGAAAAAGAGTCTAGCCAGTTCCAGCTTCAACGTCTCATCCCAGACCTCACAGGTTTGATAGTTTCAAAGTGAAGCCCCTATTACCACTCTCGATGGTTCTAGTCGACAAGTAGCCCCCTCTCCAAAGTGTTGGAAAATGCCACGGGCAATAAATATACTCAGTCAACCTAGCAGTCAATTCCAAAAAGAAAGCCAAACCAACAACCAACCCCCCCCCCCCCCCTTTCCCAAGACCTTCCCCAAGGTTCATCAGACATCATCTCCCGGTGCTTACAAGAGTGCAAAATGTCAAGAAAACACTTCAGGACAAACCTCCCTAATGAACAGCGTAACAAGAACCCCCCTTT